TACCTTTCAAGTAATTGCTTAAATAATGATCTTGGTCAGGTACACAGTGAAAATGACACTTTCCTTTCGTCAAACACGTTCACAAAATTGTCAAGTTATGAAGATATCCTTGCACCTCGTATCGAAGACCAAAACGTAAATACCGTACGAGAAATCTCTTCTATTTGGCAACCCTGTATAGGTAACACCCTGTATAAAGTCTTAGTATACTGTGAAGGGTAAGGCCGGGTCGATAATGTAAATGCCATTGACTCGGTATCTAGTGCTGTGAAGCCTAAGCCTCAACTACATCAATCAGAACATATACATTTATTCGGACAGTCAAGCTGCTCTACTAGCACTTAACTCGTACGAAATCCGTTCTAAACTTTTTGGAAACTGTATCCTGCTACTAAATGAAGTAGGAAGCAGAAATAATATTATACTGAGATGGGTCCCCGGCCAAATATTGAAGGCAATAAGAATGCCGACCATCTGGCAAAGTTAAGGGCAAAAACCGTCCAACTGGGCCCCGAACCCTTCTGTGGTGTGCCTCGTTGCCTAAAACTGGGATATCTCAAATTAATAACCAAACGAGAAGCACTGAATCACTGGCAAGAAATGCCAGGATTAACACATTCAAAAGACCTAATATCGGGCTTCTCGACCAAATACTCCAATAGATTACTGCTATTGAGTAAAAACAAAACAATGACTAGGGCCCTCACAGGACACTGCAAATTAAACAAGCATATGGCTAAACTAGGCCTATGCACGACAAGTATCTGCAGATTCTGCCAAACTGAAGAGGAAACGCCGCTTCACATCCTATGTGGTTGTAGCCCACTCATGCATAAACGAAATATCTCCTTTGGAAAGTTTACACTCTTTCCCGAGGAGATAAAAACGATCGCTCCTAAGAATATCCTTCAATTCTTGTCCCTGACGGGTCTAGGTAGCGAACTCTGAAAAGGGCGAGCACAATATATCTATGTAGGTCGCAGTGCTACAGGTGCTACACATCTGACAATAGCCCAAACAACCGAATAAAAAAAAAAAATAGTGCTGTGAAACCTTTTTCGTTACACTTTTTATATTTAAAAAGTATACATTATAAAATTTTGATTGTTCGTTTCTCAGATTATTGTAAAAAATGACATTAATTTTTTCCTAGATTCACGAAAATATTTTATTTCATAATTTTAATCCTTACTTATAATATTATAAATGCGAAAGTAAATCTGTCTGTCTGTCTCGCTTGCACACTAAAACCACTAAACCGATTTAAATGAAATTTGGTGCACAGATAGTCTAGACCCTGAGAAAGGACAGGCATTTTTAATGCAAAATAAGGGTTGTAAAAAGGGGAGATGGAAGTTTGTATGGTAAATCGACATTTTTAAATCTAATACAACGAAACTTGTTTTAGCATTTTGGTTTAGATTATTTAATATTTTTTCTTTATTTATAATTAATAGATATCAATCGGAAAGTGTAATTTATATATAAAATCCACTCATCCTATGTACTCGTTGTCCCGGAACCGACATCATCTGCTCATCCGATCCATCACATCTACACTATTACGATTTCATTGTGACACCACTACACTTTGAAATAAAAATCCTATAATGACATGTTTTTTTCGACTAGAACTACAAAATATTTTTTTTTATTTAATATATTTTACGGTTCTGGATACAAGACCTTTTTAGCCCAACTTAAAGTTTTACAATATAAATTACAAAAATTAAAGTCAATGTCCAATGTCAAATAATAATAAATGTCAAATGTTGTTTCTCTGTTCTGACGAACAATTTCTTCATAGTGTTGGAAATAAATTTATATAAAGTCTTGAAGAGTAACTACAAAATACATAGATGTGTTGCCAATTGTCGTCACAGACGTTTGATTGACGTGCTGATATCAACGTCAGAGTCAGTGACAACATTTTTTTTTTTATTATATTTTTCCTTTTGCCTTTCCTTATATTCCACTATTTTAGTATTCTTAATTTGTCATGTTTACATGATTTTTACATAGTACAAAACATAGTCGCCGCCGCTGTCACGCTTATATATTTTAAACTAGCTGTTCCCGCGACTTCGTCCGCGTGGAATTAACTTTATTTTTCTGAAATAAAAGAATTTTTCAAAACTAAAAGTAGTCTAAGTTACTCCTTATTACATCAGCTACCTGCCAAAAAAAGACCCGTCAATATTAGTCCAGCCATTTCAGAGATTGGAACAAACAGACAGACAGACAAAATTGTAAAAAATGTTATCTAGGTGTGTGTACGGTATATATATTCATATGCATGTAGTAAAAAACAGTTATATCAATATTACAAACAGACACTCCAATTTTATTTATATGTATAGATTCCAAATGACATGTAAACAGTGAACTGTGATGTATTTAAAAAGAAATCTCATGAGCGGCTTAATGACAACAATTTTTATGACTTGATAGCATTCTTTTAAAAATACAGTGATACTACGACCGATACTACGTGTGTGTGAGTGATACTACGACCCACGCGACGCCACGCGATGCTGTGGCTAAGGTTCTTGAATAAAATAATACTGCGACTATAAATTGAGATGCAAGCTATCATATCTTACGAGTTGGATCAAATTGCACACAATGTGCAAATCAATTTGTAATCTGTTCAGTAGTTTAGGAGTCCATCGCGGACAAACAATGTGACACGTAATTTTTATATATTAAGATTGAAATATGCATGTCAGATAAAATGTATGCATGGCAAAACATATGTGCGTATTGTGCTCTATGTTTTAAGCAATTAAACAAATAATAATAATAAAAATATTGGATTATTTTGAATAGCAACACCAGAAATTGGTTTTTCCCTAAGTAATGAATATTAATTCAATAATTGAACGAAGTAGTGTTGGGCACACCCGGTGTCGCTTCGCCGGAAGTCGAGAAGTCGAGGGTGCATGGTGCAGGCGCCGAGGGGGCTGCAGTCACTGTTGCTAGGCTGGCAACCCCAGGTATCATTGGGTCGATATTCAATGCGAAGAACCCGTTGTTTTATTGGGGTGCACTAAATATAATTTTAATGTTATTTTGTAGTAATGAAACTGAGTAATTTATTCTCTAAATATAATTACATATATATCTTATATATAAAATTGTACTGTATTGTTGTTGTTGTATTGTACTGAAATATATACTATTTACCCAAACTCTTGTTTCTAGAAAAATCTTGTTCTACTATAGATAATCTCTGTAAGGGCCAATTTTAACAGGACTATCACTCGCAGATAGATAAAATTATGAATGATAGAAACATTATTTATATAAAAAAAAAGTAACATCCCACGCGGACGAAGACGCGGGTAACAGCTACTTATAAATAGAAAACGTAAACTGACGTTCTTATGTCGCAATGTTTATTACCGTGATTGTGACTAAATAGGTGTGTTATCAGCATATTGCTGCAGCGTTGAAAGCGCTTCGGAGATGTTTTTCAGCAGCTCTACCATAAAATCCTGATTTCTGCAGCGTGTGAAGCGCTTCGGAGCTGTTTTTCAGCAGCTCTACCATAAAATCCTGATTTCTGCAGCGTTTAAAGCGCTTCGGAGCTGTTTTTCAGCAGCTCTACCATAAAATCCTGATTTCTGCAGCGTTTAAAGCGCTTCGGAGCTGTTTTTCAGCAGCTCTACCATAAAATCCTGATTTCTGCAGCTGTTTTTCAGCAGCTGATTTCTGCAGCGTTTAAAGCGCTTCGGAGCTGTTTTTCAGCAGCTCTACCATAAAATCCTGATTTCTGCAGCGTTTAAAGCGCTTCGGAGCTGTTTTTCAGCAGCTCTACCATAAAATCCTGATTTCTGCAGCGTTTAAAGCGCTTCGGAGCTGTTTTTCAGCAGCTCTACCATAAAATCCTGATTTCTGCAGCGTTTAAAGCGCTTCGGAGCTGTTTTTCAGCAGCTCTACCATAAAATCCTGATTTCTGCAGCGTTTAAAGCGCTTCGGAGCTGTTTTTCAGCAGCTCTACCATAAAATCCTGATTTCTGCAGCGTTTAAAGCGCTTCGGAGCTGTTTTTCAGCAGCTCTACCATAAAATCCTGATTTCTGCAGCGTTTAAAGCGCTTCGGAGCTGTTTTTCAGCAGCTCTACCATAAAATCCTGATTTCTGCAGCGTTTAAAGCGCTTCGGAGCTGTTTTTCAGCAGCTCTACCATAAAATCCTGATTTCTGCAGCGTTTAAAGCGCTTCGGAGCTGTTTTTCAGCAGCTCTACCATAAAATCCTGATTTCTGCAGCGTTTAAAGCGCTTCGGAGCTGTTTTTCAGCAGCTCTACCATAAAATCCTGATTTCTGCAGCGTTTAAAGCGCTTCGGAGCTGTTTTTCAGCAGCTCTACCATAAAATCCTGATTTCTGCAGCGTTTAAAGCGCTTCGGAGCTGTTTTTCAGCAGCTCTACCATAAAATCCTGATTTCTGCAGCGTTTAAAGCGCTTCGGAGTTGTTTTTCAGCAGCTCTACCATAAAATCCTGATTTCTGCAGCGTTTAAAGCGCTTCGGAGTTGTTTTTCAGCAGCTCTACCATAAAATCCTGATTTCTGCAGCGTTTAAAGCTCTTCGGATTTGTTTTTCAGCAGCTCTACCATAAAATCCTGATTTCTGCAGCGTTTAAAGCGCTTCGGAGCTGTTTTTCAGCAGCTCTACCATAAAATCCTGATTTCTGCAGCGTTTAAAGGGCTTCAGAGATGTTTTTCAGCAGCTCTACCATAAAATCCTGATTTCTGCAGCGTTTAAAGCGCTTCGGAGTTGTTTTTCAGCAACTGTATCATGTACCTGACTTTTGTAATGTTTAAAGCGGTTTCGGAGCTGTATTTTAGCAGTTCTACCATAAATTTATAATAGGGGCCTAGTAGCCTGAAATAAATAAATCGATAAATAACAATACCTGACATCCAAAGCATTTATCGCTGCAGATTTGTTTTTTACCAGTTCTGCCATAAATTCCTGACCCTTTTTATTAATTGTTGCAGGAAATGTGCAGAGAAGGAGTCCTGCGAGGCGGATTACGTTGCGATAGGTAGCCGGCTGAGGGGCGCGATGGGGACTCGTCCACCAGCTCGCTTCTGGCCCCAACTGTGGGCCACCGTCGTCCGGAATCTTCTGCTCAAGAAACGCGACACACGGAAGACCCTCGCAGTTAGTGTTATCTTTTTCGTATGGATGATAATGGAATAGTGCACTCGTCTGCGCAAACGTTTTATGCTAGCAGGGCACCAGTGGATGATAAGTAAGCATGAGGTCAGGCCAGTTAGCCAATAGAGGTAAATTCTGCATAAATTTATCACGTTGGTTTCCAGGGGGAACCGCGTGTAGGTCAACATGATATAGTAACATCGCTATGTGATTATTAGTCTACATTACTAACAATCCCCTTTCACAAGTCAATATTGACCAATATAACCAGATGAGGACTGTATATATACAAATATCTTTTGCCCCACACTTCAGTCTCACCTATTTATTTGACGGCCGTGATGTCTAGCGGTTTAGCACACTGCTTTACTTCCGATGGTCGCGGGTGCTATTCCTCGTACGGTGCAAACATTTTGTATTCAAGAGTATGATTGTTTATATCGGTCTGGGTGTTTTCTGCGTATATTATGTTTTGATCAAAATCCGTTCAGTAGTTTTTGCGTGAAAGAGTAACAAACATCCATACTCACAAACTTTCGCGTTTATAATATTAATAAGATAAACAGCACCGCGGTATTATCCCCATACGTTCTTTTCTGGAAAAATAAGTTCATGCTGCCATATGTAATTTTAATGTTATGTATATTTACCATCTCAGGAAGTGCTGGTCCCTCTCTATTCTCTGGGCGTCCTGATCTTCCTGAAGATGCTGGTGCCGAACCCTAACTTCCCAGAGGTTCGGGAACCTGGTCGAATTCTCCGCATTCACCATGATGCTTTTCCGGAGAATCATTCAGTGGCGGTGGTGGCGGATTGGTGGAAAGCCAATGGGACTGTGGTATGTATTGAAGAATAGAATAAAAATAATCTTTATCCAAATAAATCTAATATAAGCACTTTTGAATAGTCACATTTTTTTATTATACCAATGTGTGGTACGCAACGGAACGCAGACTCATCACAAAAATAATGAGAAAGAAACTTGTGTGTTGCTCTTTTAAATAGATTCACATTAACAAGAATTAAGCTTGCGACAATCAACATAGAAATCGCTACGGACTCGATCTTTGTTCAATCAGATAACATTGTCAGCCCTATGGAGAACCTTAAGGATCATTAGGGTTACTAATATTAAGTAAAATTATACTAATAAAAGAAGATGGGTAGTTATAAGTACAGAACATGTTGCATACACCTTCCTCTCCTGTTCGATCGAAATTACGACGGCCTGAGCCGAGGTTTAAACCGCTAGCAATGTCTTCAAACTATAGTCGTATCTGTCAGATAGGAGTTGACCTTTGGAGAGCCATCTGCACTCGCCCCGTATTGTTCGGTGAAGCTATAAAGGCCATCTCCGGCCAACAGCATTAGAATAGTTAAAAAATCGTAATTGCCTCTTATATACATGAACAGTTACGTAATTAGACGCCCGTGATACGGCAGAGGTTTCGTAAGACTACGATGTCATGCCTCTTATCTTTCAAATTTCTTTTCTTTTATTTAATTGGGACGGTTAACAAGTCATTCCAGAGGTTATCATGCCACTCTCTTACTGCTCTAATCATCATCATCACCTGCTTCTTCCTTATCCCATTTATTTGGGGTTAGCGTAATAAGTATTTCTCTTCCATTTATCCCTCCTTACTCTAATATCACTGCCTAATCTTCAACGTACAAAGCAAACTGCTCAGCGGCTGATGTAAGTGAGACACACGCAGACAAAATTTTACAGTCTACCTCTGTACCTTACACCTAGCTTACAACTATGAAAAAACGCTTCGCTAATCAAATATGAACACAAGGGTTGTCTAGTTCATTGCTCTTTTTAACTTTCGATAAAATCGCCAAGTAACGTTTTCCTTTGTGCGTATGTATATTGTACATTATTTAGGGGTTAATGTTTGGCGGCGGAGTTGTATATGTGTTGTATAGACACCCTGTTTACACTCACACATGCAACATTTTGTACATTAACTGATAGGGGTGAGTTTACTTTACCGACTGACGTCATTTTCTTATTGTTCTTTTAGCTAAATTCTAAAAAATTAGATGGGCAATTGACTGTAATAATATACACTTTTAAACCTATCTTTTTACCAATGCATGAGCACGGAATGTGACTAATGAATCATAAACATGATTAATTTATCACATAAATAATAATACTACGTACAATCATAGGAGGCAAACATTAAAGAACACTTAATAACTTTTCTAATTTTCCGCGTAACTTTCTTAATATTTTAGTTCCTAACAATAGCAAATACAACAAAAAAAGACTTAGCGAAATCGATAAAGCAGTACACGTGATGCCGTGCCTAAATGCCTAATCTATAGATAGATAAGATGTAGGGGTAAGCGGATTTTAGTAACGTGGATTAGTGATCCCATTGCTAGCAGTGTACCATGTCAGTTTTACTCCATGTTGCAAGCAGTTCCTCTGAGCTAATTCACCATGCCTCATCTTATCATCTTCCACTGATGCCCCGCTATAAACCGTTAGTGCAGGCGGGAGCTCCATTCCATTATCATCCAATAAAAAAATCTGGATATAGATTAACGATGATCTGACTACATCCTTATCCTACCATCCTTCACTAGTACCCTGCTAGATTACGCCATTTTAGCAGATATATGGACTATTAAACATTTTTTCCTCTATAATATAAATTTCTCTTCTACCCAAATATTCTCTGGAAGGAAATGCATAACCAATTACGACGCCTAGTTGCCCTATTACTCTGTTAATTTTGATTCCTATAATTTATCTGCTGCAATAAAAAGTATATAAATAAATAAATATTTTAAACTAGTGAATAAATATTTGTGCAGAGTTTTTTGGAGGACATCAACAGCATGCTTCTCGAGTCCGGACAGCCTGCCATTCATTGGATCCGGTACAACGACACCACAGAGCTGAACGACGCGTACCACAACGACAGCAAGAACTTCCCCATCGCCGTCATCTTTCACACAGACCCCAGCGTTTTCGGAGAACCACTGCGGTGAGTGGTTATATTATCTAATTAGATAAGAGTCAGGCGGAGTTGGTCTTCAGCCGCTCTATAAGTCCTTCCGCGGGTTTGGAGTGCCATCTGCACTCGTCCCCTATCGTCCGGTGAAGCTGTAAAGGCCAGCTGCGGCCAACACAGCATTAGAGTAGTCCGAAAAAAAAGTGCGATCAGAGCGAACGCAATATAGCGCGGGAAAACTGTCACGCGCAATCGTTAGGGATTGCATTTAACTATATTTTTTGTCTCTTTCACGCGTATTTTTAGCATATGATTCATGTAATTTCACTTTTAAAATTTTGTTATTATTTCAAGAAAAACGTTCAAGATTTATATATTATTATTAACCCTATAAAAGTTGTTGCTCCTTTTTGTCTTAGTCAGATGTCCGCCATTTTGTAATTGCAATGAAGTAATTATAAATATGCGCTAAAGCACGCACAATTAAAGGACGTGGAAACGCGCGGTTTTTCTCGTTCGTTCTCTATATGTACATGCACATTCAGGCACAAGCCTATTTTTAGAAGTTTTTGACCGGGTGGAAAAAAATAACAAAATAGCCTATGACTCTGAGCTAGTGGAGGCACTGGTAATGCGGCTCGCATATGTTCATTACCAGTGCCTCCACTAGCTCACGCTTTAACTGAAAAAGAACTTATAAAGCAAACTGTTTAGCGGAAGACATAGACATCTCCAGACGATCTGCGACAATTAATATGTTTAACACATGCATCTAGTCAACATCAAATATTTTGCAGGTACACCATCAGAACCAACCCATCCCACTCTGGGACTCCTTCTACACGCACCCTGACCACCTCCCCTGCTAAATGCAGGGAGCGTACTGTGAAGGACTGGTCCTCAGACTGGTCTAGAGGTGGCCAGCTGATCCCACTCTCGGAGATGCACAGGGAAGACGCCTGTCCCGTTCTACAGTATTATTACTCTGGATTCCTCGCTTTACAGACTCTGATAGACTATATAAAGATCAAGGTGAGATCAATTGATACTAACTAACTCAAAGACTACATATTTGTTTCCTTTAAATTGCAAACGAAAATATTTGTCACTAAATGTAGCCAAAAATATAACCCATAAAAATGCCAGAGAGCTATAAACGAAATAAACGCTTTCTACTACAGGTGACTAGAAAGAAAAGCAAGCAAAGTTTTCATTTTAATGGCCTTGGTGGTATATCGGTTTAGCATACCGCTTTACTTCACATGGTCGCGGGTTCGATATCTCGCTCAGTACAAATATTTGTAGTCATAAGTATGATTGTATGTATAATGTGAATGGATTATAAAAAAATGTATTTAAGTATGTGTAGTCTTACCTTACCTTACCTTACCTATAATACAAGCTCTTTGTATATTGTGTATGCATTTACAAAAAATGTATTTAATTCTATACATTAGTTGTCTAGTACACAAGCTCTGCTTAGCTTGGGACTAGATGGCGCTGTGTGACTTATCCAAGGATATGATTATTGTCTTCCAGGTGGATACAGGAACAGCAATTCCACCTCCCCGAATAGAACTGCGTCAGTTCCCCAAGCGCCAGCACACCGGGGACTGGCTGGTCATCTTCAGAGTGATCATGCCTATGTATATGGTGATGACGCTGTCACAGTTCATCACGTACCTCCTCATGTTTGTAGTTGGGGAAAAAGAGAAGAAAATCAGGGAGGGAATGAGGATTATGGGCTTGAAAGATTCGGTGTACTGGTGAGTAATGTAACGTGATTCTTATATATTTTATTATATATTTGGAATGGTAAGATGGTAAGAAAGTAGCCAGAAGTAGAAGTCTCTTTTAAAAGAATCTTTACTGAAATAATATTATGCACATTGGTTATGAACTCACATTTAAAATCAGTGTTCTTATTGCTAAGTAACAGTCATGTCTTACGTGCTGTGATAAAATGAAAAATAAATTGTATTTACTGCTGTATGATGATGAGTATGTTCATCAAATAAGCACTTTTGACTAATCATATTACCACTCATTCGGAAAGCATAGTCATCACAAGAAGAATGAGCAAGATATTTTTCGTGCTCTTTTACATTTGTAAGAAATTTGTGTGACAAATAGCAATGACAGTTGGTTGAATGAACTTTCGAAATGATTATTCATAAGTAAAATAATATTTTTTTTCTTTTGGTTAATCATTTCGATTCTAGCTTTCATTCGGAAAGCAAATTCAGCACGAGAAACATAAAGTTACTTCGATGTTTAGAACAAAATTTTGATTTTCGAATTTTGAGAATGCTTGGACTAGATTTGAACTCATAAACTTTCTAAGTTCGGTTAGTAACAAGGCTGTACCGTACCTAAAATCACTATAAAAAGGTTTACAGAATATATTATGAAATTGTTTACGTTCCTGCATTACATGAAACATTAAAAACTTCATTACCTTTAATCGTCCTTCAATTAGAGTTTAACATGCAAACAAGTTGATTTTAGTTATTACTGCAGAGGATTTTGTAAAAAGTTGTAAAATTTTAATTGTGTCAAATTAGTTTTTTTTTTTATTTCACTGAAATGGCAAACAAGCTGATTGTATATGGTCTAATATGGATATAAAACTTTCATGGTTATCTAGCAATATTTTTATTTATATGACGATTCTAAATTAGAATTTATAATTAATGAGTTGTATAGATTTGATACCAAAATATGTTGTATTAATAATATATTTTTATCCTGTAAAATTACATAATATTAAACACTAGTGACCAAAGAAAGTGATTAGTTTTTGGGTCTGTTATTCATACGGTCCTTCGAGCTGGATGACCGAGAGCTGTAATAAGATTTGTTAATATTACGGATTATTGGGGATTCAATAATTAAATAGACTATAACAAACGTTACTCCTTCAACAAGGACTGACGACAAAACAAAACTTCTTTCGTAAAGGATACATAGCAACGTCATTGTAATTGTGAGGATAGTGGCAACTATCAACAATATTTGTACATGAACAGCACCTCAGGCACATGTCATCATATACCACTCATCCATTGCCATTCTGGAGGACTTTTTGAAGATAATGGAATGGTGCACCCGCCTGCGCGAAAGGTTTACGCTGGCGAGGCACCAGTGGAGGATGATAAGGTCGCGTCAGTTAGCCCATCGTGACAAATTCAACAAGAATTTATCACGATGGTTTCCAGGGGAACCGCTTGGAAGTCAACCTGAGATGGTACATTGCTAGCAATATGCTCAACAGTTGACATAAGATGTTAGTCCTCCATACCTTATCAGACTACCTGATCTCAACCTTTAACCAAAAAAACATCTTACAAAGCAACTCTTTGATAGCTAGAAGAAGGTGGAACTGAGGTACTGACATAGACAACTTTGCAGAAATACTACCTCGCTTATATATCTTACATTTCTTTTTACAGGGGCTCCTGGTTTCTTATCTACGCAGTTTTCGTTACTATCTTGTCCTTCGTTAGCACAGTTTTACTCTTCACTCTGAAGGTTAGTTCTACTTTTCTTCTCGATGTCTCTTCTATTCTTTTATTATCAGTTCTGGAACCATTCTTATTGATTACAATTCTTCTTGTTACAGGTATTTCAACATTCTTCGTATATCCTAATATTCTTGCTGATGCTGCTGTTTGGATTCACCATCATCACGTTTGCCTTCATGTTAACGCCGTTCTTTGATAGAGCCAGGGTGAGTAGAATTCAGTTTATCATTACAAATAAAATCCATCAGGAACTACTTTTAGGTTGTTATTATTCACGTTTGTACGAGTTTGGAAAAACCAGTAAATCTTATCTATCGGGTTTTAATAAGAATAATTTTACGGTATATACCTCTCTCGATGTTTCTGTAAAAAATTCTCAGAATGAAAACAAAAGACCTGTTTGCGGAGATTTTGTATTAATTGATAATCCAATTTTATTAATACACTTAAAGTCTCTCTAATTATTTGTAATAAGGATACATGCTATTTATGAACAATTTGCTCTAGTAATATTTATTGCATTAGAAAGTTGTTTAATGTTATTGCTTACCGAAAACATGTGACTAGTGAATGTAATTTTATTCAGACGGCCGGCATCCTCGGCAGCTTTGCAGTAAATTTGATGAGTGGTCTGTACTTCATCCAAGTGTTCGTTTCTAACGCGGACTCGCTCGCCTTCTGGTTCGTCTCGCTCATCAGCTCCAGTTGTTACGCGCTTGCTATGGACAAGGTATAGTAAATTATTAATAGATGCATTATAATTTTAATCAGTTTATCACTTAAAATTATTATCAAATGTTAAACCAATTGTTGAAATTAAGATAGTACACAAAGTTGCAAATACTACAATTACAGTAAAGATGCTTAGGTTATACTTTAGATACGTAATTATTTTTAGTTTATCAGTTAAAATTAAGTAGGGCTTATTATCAAATGTTAAACCAATTGTTAATGAAATTAACTTAATAAATGAAATCGCAAGTACTACAAGTACAGATGCTTAGGTTATGTTTTAGATAGGTAATTACAATTTAACATTACTTATCATAGAAGAAGATATCAGGACAATAGTCCGTAGTAATAACTACGACCACAGATAATATTACATGCTATGACTGGAGGTCTTCTGGTTTTGCAAGAATTAATTACCTAGAAATTAAATTTACGATAGTAATGGGGTATGTTCCTAAATTCCATAGTTATATGTACGATTCTAGAATATGACAATAAATTTAGATGCTAAATTGTAAACTGTGACTATTAATTTATTTTGGGTACCAAACTGGATTAAGTATAAACACATTCTATTGGATGTACACCTCCTCAATGGTCATTTAATAGCAATCAAAATGATCGATTATTTGACTGTTTACTTATTGACAGAGAATTTGGTTCTAGAATGTTCTACATTCTATATTATAATGTTTACCTTCAGCTTCATCTAATCTTCTATATTCTAAAAACCTATATCCTCAGGTTTGCCTACAGCTCCATCTACTGTTGCACATTTTATATTATCATTACCTCAACAGGCTTGCCTGCAGCTCTATCTAATTCTCCACATTTTATGTCATCAGGTATACACTCATTTCCATCTATTGCTCTACATTCTTTGTCATCAGGCTTTGGTCTTGGATATGGCCGGTGTGGGCGTGACATGGGAGAACCTCTGGAGTGGACCTGGGGTACCGTTCGGTGGCAGTCTGATCATGATGGCAGTGGACACAGTACTATATGGCCTGGCAGCGTACTGGCTCGATGCTGTCATACCTAGTGAGTGTTTGCACGAATTTAATATTTAAAATTCAATAAAGTGTAACTATAATTTTTTACCCGTAAGTTACTTTCAGTTGAAAATACTCAATTCATAAAAAGAGTGCAATGATGGCTGGCTCATCCGTCATACTCGTGAACGGGTGCTGCTTGTGGGGACTGGTCTGTTCTGGTTGCGAACACTGATTAATTTTTTTTGTTCTTTGCGATAGCATATGCTGGTGGTCACTCTATTCTCCCAAATTAGAATTTAAATGAATCTGTATAACTGAAAATATGTACAATATTTATTAAAAAAATATACGAGCTGAGTTTCTTGTCAGTTCTTCTCATCTCGAAATCATTCCGAACTGACGGTAGATTTGATATATCATAAGAGTCTGTAATAGACCTACATGAATAAAGATATTTTGAATTTGAATTTGAAGATATGACACTTAGTTCTTAGGCAGTGTTGGAGTATCAGCGGTATCCCAAGTTCGTTTTATGCTATCCATAATATTGGTCATATCAATAATCAATCACTTATCATCAGGTAGGTCGTCAGCGAATTTCCCATTACAAACATACACAAATAGATATTTATTTGTAATCAAGTTTAATGTTTACCCAGGTGAATACGGCATCAAACAGAAGCCATGGTTTTGTCTATTGCCGTCTTTCTGGATCGGTAGCAGACGTGGGAGAGTTTCAGCTATACACTTCCACTCTAACGGCGAAGCAGCGCATAACAAGGATATCGAACCTGTACCCAGGTAAGCTTTTTCTAATAGCTGGGCTAAAAACTTTCGCTCACATTTTTAAACATATTTATCTTAAGTTTGATCTGTCCATGTGTTAGCAGCAAATTTGTCGCGTACAGTAAATGTCTGTATATATCACGACTATATTAATAAGTTTATTGAGTGTTTGTTGTTTTTAATGTACTTACTACTTTTACTACTCACGGCTTTTGTATTGATTGCCGCACTTTACATATTATGAAAATATTATGTATAAAACAAGGAAAAATTAGATGAGTTCCGTCATACTCGTGAACGACTTAAAGACTGTACAAGTATGATTTAACTTATTGTGTTTTTATACGCTAAATAAATTAGTGCTGGTTGGTAGTTTGTAAAACTTGTAAAATGTGAACTTACAAGGATTGTTTAATTTTATTCTTCTTGTAAATGCGGTAGATTAAAAAAAAATGTTGACTATTCAAAAGTGCTTAAATTAAGTTTATTTGAATAAATGATTTTCTATTCTATTCTATACTACACGCTTTGGATTTTATGTAAGTGTGGTGAGCACCGTATTTTAAATAAATAAATAAAGCAGCAACAAAACGCAACACAAAAGGAGCGTTCTGATAGGAGCGCACACCCATCCAGTTTAAATTCGATATGTAACGTATAGACTTTAAAATCAAATCGATAGATGCAACGTAACAAATTTAAGATAGTTAGCTGTAATACCTGTGTTAGGGAAACTACTCTGCTACCAAAATGTTAGGGAATTCACTATGTATATATATAGGTGGAAGCGTCAGTCACGTACCTGTACAGAGAGGTCTCGAAGATATCAGCTTTCCAGTTTCACAGTAGGTTTCAAATCTTATATTCAAACAAATGTCCGTTTGTTATAGGTAAGGGAAGGAAAGAGCCTAATATATTACGATAAGATAGATGAATTTAATCAGATGATACCTCGACTATTTAAAATATATTGAATTTGATGCCATATAATGCGAAGTGACAAGGAAATTAAATAACATAAAAGAGGTAGAGGACGTCCTCCAGCTATAGTATATAGTTGATAATTTGATTATCCAATTGTATATATTTGTTTTTGGGTGTTCATACAGACAAGTTGCTAATAATAATAATATCTTCAACAGGGAGCTCCAAGAAAAAGAAGCCATCAGAATTGTAGGCCTCCAAAAGAGTTTCAGACACTGTCGGAAACCTGAAATCAAAGCTATCGACGGCATCGATCTGAGCATCTACGAAGGTCAGATCACTGCTGTTTTGGGGCATAATGGTGCTGGCAAGTCCACGCTCTTCAATATCCTTACTGGACTCACCACGCCCACTGCTGGGACTGCTTATGTATATGGACTGGACGTCAGGTATGTTGTATTTCAGGTGTTATTACGGATGTTCATGTAATTATTTAATAGAGTCATAATATATTGTTTAATTATAAAGTTCAAACTTGTGGCGGCATGGTGGGCCGGGTCAATGTGCTCCCTCTAATATGATTGAGTGCAATGATGGCTGGCTCATCCGTCATACTCGTGAACGGGTGCTGCTTGTGGGGACTAGTCTGTTCGGGTAGTGTTCGTACACTGATTAGACTATTCACTTTTGCAATAGCATATGCTGGTGGTCACTCTATTCTCCCAAATTTGAAATTAAAAATGAATCTGTATTATTGTAAACATGTATAACATTTATTTGAAACTTGACCGATTTTGATGAAATGTTATATGTATATTCAGTAGGTCTGAGAATAGTTTTATATTTGATTTTTATACCCCTGAGTTTTAAGGGTGGCTCACCCCAAAAAGTTTTTATAATTGTTATTTTTTCGACAACTTTTTTTATTTTACCTTTTTATTATGTGTCATTAAAAATACATACAACCCTAAATTTACACTCTTCTATCACCAACCCGTATTTTTTAATAGCTATTTTAATTTATATGGCAGAACAATGTATACGGGGTCAGCTACTAGCTGACTCCGCAAACATTCTTCTGCCATAGCTAGCTAACTTTATATATTTTATGGTGATGGAAGTCAATGAAAGTATTTATATGTTAACTAGCTGTCCCGGCAAACGTTGTTTTGCCTTAAAATAAAAAAAAAATTGAGGTGGACTACCCCTAACATTTAGGGGAATGAAAAATAGATGTTGGCCGATTCTCAGACCTACTCAATACGCTCACAAAATTTCATGAGAATCGGTCAAGCCGTTTTGGAGGAGTATGGGAACGAAAACTGTGACACGAGAATTTTATATATAAGATTATATTGTAGGGATCCGAACGACATGTACGAGATACGGCAGATGATAGGCGTGTGTCCTCAACAAGACGTGCTCTTCGATTTGCTGTCCGTGAAGGAACATCTGCAGTTCTTCGCTGCTGTAAAAGTATGTTTAATATCATCGAATATTTTCTCTTTACGAATATATTTCTTACTAGCTGTTCCCGCGACTTCGTCCGCGTGGAATTTAACTTTATTGATCTAAAATGAAAGAATTTTTCTGGCTGGACCGATTTTGATGGGACTTTTTTTGACAGGTATATGATGTAATAAGGAGTAACTTAGTCTACTTTTATTATAGAAGAATAAAGTTTAAATCCACGCGGACGAAGTCGCGGGTGGTGCAGCTAGTCATTAAATATTTTTTTGTAATGTATGTGTGTGTATGTATATTGTTTATATATAAATATATGTATGTTTGTTAATAATGGTTGACAATAAATATTTTCCTTTATTTATTTCTCTCAATAATAATCATAAAAGGTTAAGCAAAGCTTTTCAAAAAATACTAACATAATCATTTTTTGTAAATACATACATAATACATCTAGACGATACAAACAGTCATACTCATGAATACAAATGTTTGCCAAGAATCGAACACACTATTGGAAGTAAGGCGGAGTGCCCAACCACTAGACTATCGAGGTAAGCCGTCAAATAAATCAAATAAAGATTTTTTTAAATATTCTTATTATATTTAGGGCATACCTCGCAAAAGGATACCAGATGAGATTCACAAGTCGCTAGCGGATGTCGGGCTGCTGGATCAGGCCGGAGTGTTCTCTAAACATCTGTCCGGCGGACAGAAGCGGAAGCTTAGTATAGCCATCGCTTTCATTGGTGATCCTAAAGTAAGATTAACATTTTTTTGTTTCTTTATAACACAGGGGACAAACGAGCATGCGGCTCACCTGATGGTAAGTGATTACCGCCGCCCATGAGCACCCGCAACACCAGGGGAATTGCAAGTACGTTGTCGGCCTTTTAAAAAGGAATAAGCTCTTTTCTTGAAGGTTTCAATATGGTACAGGTTCGGAAATACCATTGCTGGAAGGTGATTCCATAATGTGGTTGTGCGAGGCAAAAAGTTTCTAGAAAACCGCACTGTGGAAGACCGCCATTCATCCAGATGATCAGGATGGTATTTGAGTTTCTGGCGGGTGGTACAACTCAGTAGCTGGTATTAATCTTTCTTGCTCATTCTCCTGTTGATGAATCTGCATTCCGAAATAGCGGTAGAATAAAAAAACTTGACTATTCAAAAGTGCTTATATTAAGTTTATTTGAATAAAGATTATATCTATTTCTATTTCTGCTTAAATGACAATTGTGAACATACATTTAAATTTCAGATTATAATACTGGACGAGCCAACAGCTGGCGTAGACCCAGTATCCAGGAGGCAGACTTGGAGAATATTGCAGAGAGCGAAGCGCGGGAAAGTATTGTTGCTGACAACTCACTTCATGGACGAAGCTGATATATTGGGAGATAGGAAAGCTGTGATCAGTAAGGGCAGAGTGAGTAGTGTAGATTTTAATACAGTTTTTACCGATAGATAAGACGATTCGATCTTATGTTTCTATTTTACTAGCTGTCCCGGCTAATGTTGTTTTGACATATAAAATGAAACACTAATGTCGCAATTAAAGTGTAAAGATTGGTAGAAGGGTGAAAATTTAGGGTTGTTTTATTGGGGGATAGGAAAGCTGTGATCAGTAAGGGCAGAGTGAGTAGTGTAGATTTTAATACAGTTTTTACCAATAGATAAGACGATTCGATCTTATGTTTCTATTTTACTAGCTGTCCCGGCAAACGTTGTTTTGCCATATAAATTTAAACACTAATGTCGCAATTAAAGTGTAAAGATTTTTAAGGGTTGTTTTATTGGGGGATTGATCGTAAGGGCAGAGTGAGTAGTGTAGATTTTAATACAGTTTTTACCAATATATTCGATCTTATTCTATTAAATTATTAAACGTTGTTTTGCCATATAAATTTAAACACTATTGTCGCAATTAAAGTGTAAAGATTGGTAGAAGGGTGAAAATATAGGGTTGTTTTATTGGGGGATCGAAACGATCGAGAGAGTGTAGATTTTAATACAGTTTTTACCAACATATAAAATTCGATTATGTTTCTATTATAAGCCCGGCAAACGTTAATTTAACTAATATCGCAATAAAATGTAAAGATTGGTAGAAGGGTTAAAATTTAGGGTTGTTTGATAGGAAAGCTTTTTATCCAAATCATAATATAATTTAAAATATTATCTTAATCAAAATAAATGTTAGGGGTGGACAAACCTTATCCCTTAGGGGTATGAAAAATAGATAGTAATGTAATATTATGTTATCTGTGATAGTACTTATGTTATGTGATAGCTGATTCTCAGACCTACTGAATCTAAATATATATAACTCAAAGGTGATTGACTGACGTAGTGATCTATCAACGCACAGCCCAAACCACTGGACGGATCGGGCTGAAATTTGGCATGCAGGTAGATGTTATGACGTAGGCATACTAGGCATACGCTAAGGATTTTGATTAATTCTATCCCCAAAGGGATAAAATAGGGGATGAAAGTTAGTATGAAACTTTGGCAATTTTAAACCGATAGGGCTGAGACATTGCATGCATAAAGATACTATGTCGTAGGCATCCCCTAAGAAAGGATTTCGATAAATTCCACCCCTAAGGGGATAAATTAATGCGAGCGAAGCCGCGGGCAAAAGCTAGTGTTCATATAAAATTTAATAAAAATTGCCATTTCGGGAAGTATTGTAGCTAACAGTTCTCTCTCTTCAGTAAAATTCTCGTGTCCCAAGACACGAGAATTTTATATATGTATAAGATAATGAATTTCGATTCTTTTCAGGTGCGGTGTGCTGGGACTTCTCTGTTTTTAAAGAATAAATTTGGTATCGGATACCATTTGACTCTGGTTCTGGACGGTAATTAATAAATTCTGTTATTTTAAGTTTTTATTATTAGAAAAGATGGATAGATTATGCTTTATTATGTAAGTATAGATAATAATATTAATGAAAGAAAGAAAGAAAAATATTTTATTCAGTGCAATGTAATGATGATCAACCTGGAATAAAGACACAGTGCCATCTAATCCCAAGCTAAACAGAGCTTGTGTTATATATACTAGACAACTGATAGAAATACTTAAATATGTATTAATGTAAATACTCGTAATACATAAACAATCACACTAAAGACTACAAATGTTCGCGAGGAATCGAACCTGAGACTATCGATACTAAGACGGTGCAAAACCGCTGAACCACCATCACAAGAAATATTAAAATACAATCAGTCACGATTGCGGGATTGGAAGGACGTAGATAACGGCTCGGTTAACATTTATTGCACATTTCATTGCACTAACTTAGTTATGAGTCGTGAGCATGGGCGTAGCCACGGTGGGGCAGGATGGGGCGCCCGACCCTGTCTCTAACCTGTAGGGTAACTAACTAAACCGGAAAGCATAAATTATCTAAGTCTTACGATACTTAATATTTGTAAGAAAGTTCATACTCGATAGTCGACATTAAAAATAACTTACAGATACAGGGTGCTATAGGGTATAACCGATTTGTATGAAAAAAATTATCGTAGTAAGATTTGATAGAGATATTTTGAGTGATATATAGTAGTAAATATAATTTACTTCGTTCCGATTGCAGTTGCACGTTACATACAAACTGTTACTAAGCAACAATACTTATTTTAAATGTGATGGATTATACTTTTTCTACTTCAATCAATGTGCCTAATAAGATTATGGGTATAGTTTGCTAGTTACATAATGTTTTAAACTGCTGCCCCACCCTCAGCCCATGGTCAGGAGGACGCAGACAACCACTGGTTACTAATTATCCCATATTCCATTTGTTTACCTTAATTTATCAGTCGGGAGAACGTAGGCGATCGTTTCTAAGTTATCACACATTTTCAGTCAGTAGACACGATGGGGCAGGATGGGACGCCCGACCCTGTCTCTAACTTTTAACCTATGGTAACTATTGGCTAGTTACCCTATAGGTTAGAGACAGGATACATAAATTATCTAAGTATTACGATACATATTCAATTTGTACACGTCAGGCGCATGCCGTGAGCACCAGATCACGCGTCTGGTGCGTGGTCACGTGCCTCGCGCGGAGAAGGCCCGCCGCCACGGACGCGAGCTGTCGTACATCCTGCCGCACTACGCCGTGCACCTGTTCCCTCCACTCTTCCACGCCATCGAGCACGAGATCAAGGAGAAGACCAACCGGCTGGGTAAGTTTTTGATGCCCTTTGATGGAGTCGCGACTCAGGTATTAACTCTTCCATGAAATGTTAGAGTCAACCACCGAATCGAACCGACCAGGTGAGGATTTTCGTGGAAACGTCACGTCAATTCTTGGAATGTGCTGTTAGATTAGTGCTCTTTTGCCCTGGAGAAAAATAAAATAATAAATTTATGTTATATAGTAATGAGGTGAAGTAAATTTTCCAATCACTAGGCAAGGATTTTCATGGAAACTTCATGTTAATTCTTTCATCGAATGTATTATTAAAATAGCACCTTTTTTACCCTGAACGAAAGAAAAAAGTAAATTTTCCAATCACAAGGATTTTCATGGGAACTTCATGTTAATTCTTTCATTGAATGAATCATCAAATCAATCAAATTAAAATAGCTCCTTTTTTACCCTGGACAAAAGAAAATATACTATATAATAGTGACGTGACGTGACGTGTTTTTACCATGACGGTATCCATATGGATACGCCATGGGAAACCGCGTGGAAGTCAACCTCTCATTGTACATACATAAATACAGCAATGGGGCTACTAGTCCAAATTACTGACAATTTTCTCCCCCCCGGTATAGTGAATTAGTAGGGCAGATAAACCTAACGAGACCTTGCGGCTCCAGCAATAAGCCGATGTGTGCAGTCATAAATACACGGTAGATGTGGATTTTAAGAGTGAGTAAGAAATAAATATATTTTGATTTTAGATTTATATTACATATTATATGGATAGATGGAAATGGAGGGAAGATTGAACGAAAAAAGTTAATTATTAAAAATGGACCGATTTTATGTATAAGTTTATATTATATGTTACACAGCAACATGATGGTGAAATATCTGCAGTACTGTTCATGTATGTTGGACACGGTTACCGCTTAACATCAGCTGGTTAGCTTAACCATTTCAGTTAGTAAAATCATCTATCGTTCATTTTCAGGTGTTACAAGTTATGGCGTCTCAATGACAACATTAGAAGAGGTCTTCCTCAGTTTGGAAGGGGAGAATGCTGAGGAGACGGAAGCTGTGGAAGGCGTATCATCAGTGAAGTTGGTGAGAGCACGAGCCCTCTCCAGGAGTCTATCATTGCAGAGCAAGACGCTTAGTTATCAGGTACGTATACCAACTGCAGTAATTATAAAATTATAAGTAACTTTAGCTTTAGCAATAGGATTGCCTTTTGTACCTTCATATGTTGTAAATTTTGTTTGTTGTATTTTTTCAAGTGCAATAAAGAGTAATGTAATTAATATTATAAAGAAATATTGTGAGTATGAATGTATCTTTGTTACTCTTTCACGCAAAAACTACTGAACGAATTTTGATAAAATTTAGTATATATAAATATAGCTTATACTTTAGAATAACATATAGGCTATAAATTTCAAGCAGGCAAGCAAACCGCGGACACAGTAAATAATAAATAAATATCCACTTAATCAAAATCTTAATATATTGTAATTAAGAACCATCTCGATCACTTCAACTCTCAAACAAATAAAAAGTATTATAACTGGTCCATTTCCAGCGACGGTGCAACAGACGGGCATCTACAGATACGTCAAACGTATGACACTCATCCTTTTGCATCGGTGGTTAAAAGAAAATTCAATGAAAAGAGATGTTTATTTGTGGACTTTTTTCAGGAGTTAAATGATAAAGAAACTCAGAAGACCACATCACTACCAACGCCTCCGGCTTCACACGCGTTGCATTCCACCACCCACGGCGTTGAACACGTCAAGGTATTTGTTTTACTTCGTAATTCACATGCCGTATATAGTAATAATATGATTCAGCTGTTGGTCGTTCGTAGGACTAATCGCAATTTACATTTAATAATTGATAAAACGTATGTAATAATAACATAATTTAACTATTGGTATTCTTAGGACTAATTGCTAAATAGAATAGATAGATAAGTTCTTTATTCAACAATTACAAACACATATTATACATGAGATACATTTTATAAATAGAAATAAAGTTTACAAATTAAATAATACAGAAATATAATATTACAAAATAAAATAAAAATGGAGGTGGCTTTATGTGTCGCAATGATGAAGAGGCAACCAACTCAGCATGAAGCTACAGATAAGTCTGCAGCGCTGACATTCTGTTGGCTCCTGTAATTAAATACATACTTACATACATATATACGTGAATATTTATATATTACACTTCGAGCTCTTAAACAATTATACAATTACAAAACATTATACAATATATAAATAGATTAAAAAAATGATGTGATGTGTTATGTTATACATATATTGTTAACCTATACATACTACGTACATAAATAATAGGTGTATATATAGATTTTGGTCCTTTTTTATCCGGCTCGAAGGACCAATTTTATATCTTTTTTGCTTTGACATCCACGATACAGGGATAGCCTAGTGTAGAGTTATAGTTACAATGTTTTATGAAATAAATGTTGTTCTTAATTTAATCAATAACGTTATAACCGTTGAATATTACGTGGTCAAAAACTTAAGTGATGAAGGAAGTTGTAGAGAAGGATAGCAGTCTATATGAAACCTATATTTTATTGCATTGCTAACGTCGTAATTGCGTTTAAATATGACTAGTCTAAAATCCCGAAGTCTTCGGTGTGGGAGATACACATACGTTAATCACCTTTATTACAGTAGAGGAGATGCAATTTTAAATTAGTATTAAAAATAATCTATTAATGTAGAATAATTTATTCACTTAAGTCAAGGTTTTTGTATTTATATTCTTCCTTTACCGTCTGAAAGATGGCATACTGATATTACATTAAGTTTTTCTATAGAATTCATTTTTGGTCTCCGTAAGTATGACCACATTTCCAATTTTCGCAGTCAACTCAAGTGGCTTCCCATTCGTCTTCGCAGGAATTTTCATATATTATCCCTCCTTTACTCTATTCTTTTCCACCCCTCCACCCCTGAATATCTAAAAACCAAGTTCCAATTTCATATTAAATCCCCCGGTTCTGCTTTGCGTAGTACCAGAAGCCTATGTTTGACGATCCCTGCTCACTCCTCCACATATTATTCCAACTCCTTCACTGTCCAAGCCATTCGCCTCTGGAACTCTCTACCACTCTCCATTCGATCAGCTCAAACACATGCATCATTTAAAAATAGACTAAGGTCTCATTATCTCTCTTCATAGTACATTTATTTTTATTTTTTTTATTTTTTTCTCATTTCTTCCAATATGCAGTATATATGTATGTATATATGTAGGTTTATATATTTATCCCTAATGTAAGTATGTATATCTAGTAGTATAATAAATAGTGTGTTATGTGTGCCACCTACCCTATTCTATGTACATAAGTCCTCTCTTCTAGGTTGTCAGTAAGAGATTGCATTTAGCGATAAGACCGCCTTTTGTTATTATTTTACTAGTTACTGTATTTTCTCATTATTTTATGTGTACACAATAAAGAGTTTTATTCTTATTATTATTATCATTAATATGTTTATATTTTCAGGTGACACCTGAAGCGCCAGTATCAGTGGACGCACTGGGCGAGACTGTGAAGACAAACCCATCGTGCTGGCGGACGTTCTGCGCTCTCGTCTACATCCGGACTGTGAGGATGATACGCGATCCGTACAAATTATACGTTATGATCTTCATGCCTATCAGTAAGTTGAAGATTTGGGAGACACATATTGATGAAATGTAATGTAGTAATAAAACATTGAAGATATGGGAAAAATACAGATATTTGTAAACTGAACAAAGTCCCAAAATTTATATACTCTGTGTTCATAATCTTCTCGTATTTAGTATATATCGTCGGTTATATGGAAAAATGATAGTATTCAAAATGTAAATTTATTTACAAGATTTTTTTTTATATATTAAACTTATTTTTTCCTTTAAAGTTTTAAATTTACACACAAGTATTATATATAATTTTAAAAGTATGTAGATAATGATATAAGATTTGAGCGTGGTTAATTTAATTTACTTATATAAAATGAGGTAATTCTAGCTTCTAATTTTAAAAAATATCATTTTTCTATTTAATCGACGAAATGGAAAACATGCCTAAATCTGTGAATATTCTAAATTAAATTTGAAAAAAAAATTTACAATTATTTTAATATAATTGTAAATTTTTGCGATTTATATACAAAAAACAACTTTTTGTTACTTTATAAAGCAGAAGTAAAGGATAAAAAAAAAAGAATTTGTAAACTTATGGAATGACATAAATAATAAGATTGATAATGAAATACTTCTAACAATAACTATCATATTATTAGTATCTATGTATAATATTTTTTGTATTTATTATTAACATTATGGAATTTTATTTTCAGTTTCGTGTGCTCTTGGTCTTTACATGAAGTCCCGGCAAATAGTATTTTTTCGGATGCAACCTCTCACTCTGGATCCCGACGCATATTTCAATAAGACCCCAATAGCAATACACAGTGAACAAAACAATTACAAAGAGCTGTCCGGTTTACGGGTCTCATTAGAGCTCCTTGGGGCACACCCTATTATAGATTTTAACGGAAGCTTTGCAAGTTTACTGGACATGGAGAATTTTGGTGCTTTCAGTTTAAGGGAAAGTCTTATTCCCTATGCGAAAATTATGGCCTACTATAATAGCACTTATACGCACAGTTTGCCTATTATAGTCAATTTATTAGATAATAGCATTTATAGGTACGTATAAATACTTTTTTTTATATAACACAGGGGACAAACGAGCATACGGCTCACCTGATGGTAAGTGATTACCGCCGCCCATGAGCACCCGCAACACCAGGGGAATTGCAAGTACGTTGTCGGCCTTTTAAAAAGAAATAAGCTCTTTTCTTGAAGATTTCAATATCCTATCGGTTCGGTAATACCATTGCTGGAAGGTGATTCCACAATGTGGTTGTGCGTGGCAAAAAGTTTCTAGACAACCGCACTGTGGAGTACCGCCATTCATCCAGATGATCAGGATGGTATTTCAGTTTCTGGAGGGTGGTACGGTGGTGAAACTCAGCAGCTGGTATTAATCCGAACAACTACTTTTTATCATAAACAGAAATCTTTATTTAAAAGCAAATTATTATTAAAACCAGCTTTAGTCCGCGGTTTCGCTCGCGTTAAGAAGTATTATTATTAATTAGGTGTAGTTTATGCGGCTTTACTTTTGTTTAGCGTGTGTAAAAAATTAGGGCCTACAAAATCTAAGAAGATTTATACAAACTTTCATCCCCTATTTTATCCCCTTAGGGGTAGAATTAATCAAAATCCTTTCTTAGCGGATGCCTACGTCATAACATCTACCTGCATGCCAAATTTCAGCCCGATCCGTCCAGTGGTTTGGGCTGTGAGTTGATAGATCACTATATCAGTCAGTCACCTTTGAGTTATATAATTTAGATTTAGTAAATGCTAATTGACAGTAAAATCTGATTCGAAATGAGATCGAAGTATGTGTAAATTAATTTAAGTGGGAAGTAGATGTTAAATATTCCAAATTATTACAATATCTTTTATATTTATCTCTGTCTACTACGTGGGTAAAGTAAAGATATGTTAATTTTGATAATAATCCTGACCAATTTACACAGAAGAATCTACATACTTCCAAGCTCAGCAGTGCTTGTATTATGGGCGTTAGAAAATTTATAGTAACCAGAGGTCTCTCGGTGGTCGAAATTTGACCATAATTAATTTAATTTATACTTTTTGAAGATTATTAAGGTTTAGGTTTAAAAATTCTAAAAAATCTTCAAGTGGTTAAAGGACTGCTTCTAACAAACAACCAATAAAAAGTACAAAGTGGATGACACGTGTTCTGATCTCTTAAAATTTCAGAGTATAAAACTCTGAAATTATAAGAGATCACAAACAGATGTCTAAAAACTACATCGAAAATGTGAATTCCAAAACGGTCTTATCGCTTTATAAGTAATTTCTTGAAGACAACATTAACAAAATTTCAGAGTATTAATGTCTACAACTGGTCTCATGGAGAACTTCAAACCGATCGAAGTGTTGACGCATCCGTTCCAGCAAACGGAGCAACAGGAGGAATTCAACGTTGGTAACGTGGTCTGTGCCATCTTCATGGGCATGATCTTCGCTCTTGTGCCGGTCACGCTGGCTGTTGACATCGTGTACGATCGCGAGGTAAATTTCATTAATCACATTTATTACTAGCTGTACCCGCGAGTTCGTTCGCACGGTATTCTACTTTATTTTTTATAAAATACTAGCTACTCGCCTCGGCTTCGCCCAGGTGTACATGTATTATATATATATAAACCTTCCTCTAGAATCACTCTATTAAAAAAAACCGCTTCAAAATCCGTTGTGTAGTTGTAAAGATTAAATCATACTTAGGGACGGACGGACAGACAGCGACAGGGACTTTGTTTTATACTATGTAATGATTAGCCTAAGTTATTCCTTATTAGATCAGCTACCTGCCAATAAAAGTCCCGGCAAAATCGGTCCAGCCATTTCAGAGATAAGCCGGAACAAACAGACAAACAGACAAATGTTGTAAAGAATGTTATTTGGGTGTATGTACCGTATTTATATTCATATGCATGGTAGTAAAAAATGGTCGGTTATTTCAATATAAACAAATAGTATGATTGTTTGTATCGGTCTGGGTGTTTTCTATGTATAAATGTATTTATTTTTATCCATGTTTACACAATTTTTAATTGGCGCTGTGTCAATGATATTTCTATTATTATTATATGCAATTAATTAAAGACGGTTATTTCAATATTACAAATAGGTACTTCAATTTTATTTATATGTTTAGATTTTTAATTCCGTAATGATATTTCTATTATTGTACTATATTTAAATGTAATTTAAATAAAAATCTAAATTTGCGTTTCACATTTAATTTGGACGTTCCCGCCATTTTACAATACAGACTCTATCAACTTCACAGAGTACGTTACAAACATCACAGACTATATTTATACTATATGAATATATCTTAGACATAGATTATACCAAAAACAATAATTATATCGCCATAAAATGTGGTGTTATGTACTTACTAGAAACTGATAACCTTACAAATTGTTAAAAATGTTAAACAACATATCTTTTATACAAAAGAGAAACACGAAAGTTTCTTGCTCATTCATCCTGTGTTGAAGCTACTTTCGGAATGAGATACAAAATAAATAAAGAAATACAATTTTATTAAATTTTATTTTCATGTTAAGTTTATTTTAATAAAGATTATTTCTATTTCTATTTGTTTTAGATAAAAGCTAAAAATCAGCTACGGGTGAATGGCCTCTCAATGAGTATGTACTTCCTCACGTACTTCACTATACTGATCTTCATCATGATCATCACCAGCGCCGGAGTACTTGTTCTTGTAAGTATTTTGTTTTAATACTAACTGACCGCGCCATTTGGTTTCGCTCCTACTGGTTGTAGCGCAATGCTATTTTAAAACCTTTCTCGATAAATATAGGCGGGGAAAAATGTTAGGGCACTTGGTACGACACGACGAACTAATTAATAAGTTCATCGAAGAAAAAAATAGATGGAAATATAGGAAGAGGAAGACCACGACACAGCTATATCAAGCAGGTTAAAGAAACAGTTGAGTCGTGTCCTATCAATAGCTAAAAAGACTGATAGAAGATCGTGGAAGGTGGCGAGAGTTCCACCAACAAGAGCATAGCTAATAAATTATGAATGAATCTCGATAAATAGGCAATACTAAAAGATAATTTATAGAGAATTCAAATTCAAATTCAAATTCAAAATATCTTTATTCATGTATTATGATATGTCAAATCTACCGTCAGTTCGGAATGATTTCGAGATGAGAAGAACTGACAAGAAACTCAGCTCGTATTTTTTTTTTAATGTTGTACATATTTACAATAACACTATTTCATTTAAATTCAAATTTGGGAGAATAGAGTGACCACCAGCATATGCTATATAAAAAAAACAAAAAATCTAATCAGTGTTCGCAACCTGAACAGACCAGTCCCCACAAGCAGCACCCGCTCACGAGTATGACGGATGAGCCAGCCATCATTGCACTCAACCATATTAGAGGGAGCACATCGACCCGGCCCACCACGCCGCCACAAGTTTGAACTTTATAGCGAGCATGACTGTTTCAAGTTACTCCACTACGTCATTTATATTATTTACAGCATAAACTGTACCAATCACAGTTTTCACCCATTACAATATTTAATTTATATGTGAGATACAAGTGAGATCTGCAATACCGGAATTTGTTTGTAATACTTTATTGTAAAACTAGCTGACCTACCCAACTTCATCCGCGTCACGCTTACTTGAAATTTGTCGTAATATTTCGCCCAATTTACATAATGTCTTTTTAAATTATAACCTATGTGTTATTCCAATGTTTGAGCTACCTTACTGCAAAGTTTTAACAAATTCCGTTAAGAAATTTTTGCGTGAAAGAGAAACAAACATCCATTCTTCCACCCATCTATCCATCTCACAAAATGCGCGTTAGTAAGATAACTACTCGATGGATTTCTATCTTATATATAAAATTCTCGTGTCACAGTTTTCGTTCCCATACTCCTCAGAAACGGCTTGACCGATTCTCATGAAATTTTGTGAGTGTATTGAGTAGGTCTGAGAATCGGCCAACATTTATTTTTCATCCCCCTAAATGTTAGGGGTAGTCCATCCCTAAATTTTTTTTTTATTTTAATGCAAAACAACGTTTGCCGGGACAGCCAGTTATTTTATATCATTTGTTTTGATCGCCACTGGAGAAGGTGGTAACGCTGGACAGGTTTCCACACCGAATATTCGTAGTCTCACACATATTAATTGTAGCGGAATTAAACAAAATAGTATAAATCCATCGAGTAGTGAAATGGACTTCCGCAAAATAACACTTAATTCGATTAAATATTTAGTAAGATAAATTATAAGATGATGGACAACCTGTTTTCTATTCCATTACAAAATATAAAAAGAATATTAAAAATTAAAAAAGGACTATACCTGAACAACAAGTCTGAAGTGGTCTCAGACAGTACGCTTTCAGAGCTTCCTTCCGTGTACATTTAGATTGTGGAATGAACTACCTGCCGAGGTTTTCTCGGAAGACTACGGCATAGGGTTTTTAAGAAAGGTTATAATGTTTCAGGAGTCCACTGGCTAGGGTGACCGTCTATCATTAGATGGGCCGTATCGTTGTTTTTACTATTGTAGTATAAAAAAAGCAATCTTATTACACTTCCAGGTGATACTCAACGACATTCCAAGCTTAACGAACGGGTCAGCCATCACGATGCTCTCCGGCCTGCTGTTGTTGTACAGCCCGTCCGCCATTTTGTTCAACACGTGCCTCTCGTACGTGTTCGACAAAATGGACTCCGCGCAAAGCATTATGCCGAACATTACCACGTGGGTTGGGGTCATACCTTTTATATTGGTGGCTGTTCTGGACACGTTTAAATGGGGTAAGTTTATATTTTACTAGTTTTTACCTGCGGCTTCGTATAACTTCATTCTAGATGGCGCTGAAGTAGCAAAATGTTGATATTTAATTTTTTTGTATTTTACAAAATATATATGTTTTTTTTTTTAATAAGAAGTATCCTATGTTCTTTCAAATACCTCCAAGAACATGTGCACAAAATTTCATGATAGTCGGTTCAGTAGTTTTTACGTGAAAGCGTAACAAACATCCCTACTACCTACTAGGATAACATTAGGTATTATTTTACAGAAGTCCATGTCACTACTTGATGTATTTATATTATTTTATTTAATTCCATTACCATTAGCATGTGTGAGTCCACAGGTATTCTGTACAGGAATCTGGCCAACTCTAGTGAAAACTTTACGACCTTCTCTATTGGTGTCTCACACATAACTCGTTGTTGTTCTTTCTCTATTTTTCCCTACCGTTCAGTATACAGACTCAATTGAGAAGAACTGGAAAGAAACTCAACTTACTTTTTTTAAAAACTGGCTTTCAAAAAAAGTTAGTTGAGTTTCTCCTCTCCTCTTCTCCTCTCTCTCTCCGAACCTCGGTGGTCTAGTGGTTTAGCACACCGCGTTACTTTCGATGGTCGCGGGTTCGATTCCTCGCACGGCACAAACATTTGTATTCATGAGTATGATTATTTGTATCGGTCTGGGTGTTTTCTATATATAATATGTATTACAAATACAAATCTATGTGTTTGTATCAGGTATCAGTTGTCTAGTGCCCATAACACAAGCTTTAGGTAGCTTAACTTGGGTTTAGATGGCGCTGTGTGAATTGTTCTGAGATTATTTATTATTATTATTGTTCCAGGCAGTGACATAGCATTCTATCTACACTTGGTGTTCAGTTTTCTGGACGTCATGTATATACCGTACGCCATCATATACTATGTTGATAGGTACGTGATCTATATATATTATTATAATAAGAGAAATAAGTCTTACCGCTATAGGGCTTTTTAGGAAATAGGAAAAAGGTTGGTTGATGTCACAGAAGACCGAAAAGCTGGCAGCTACCTCGGACAAAGAATTAGTCTAGCCATTCAAAGAGGGAACGCTGCCAGTATCTTCGGAACTTTGCCTAAAGGGCCTCCTTTTAATTATATATTTTAGTTATTATATTATATTTTTTAAGGTTTTTAGTTTAATAAGATATTTAAAATACTTTTAATATCAAAGAAAGAAAGAAATATATATATATATATATATATATATATATATATATATCTCGGTCTATCGTTTGTTTAGTACCCATAACACAAGCTCTGATTAGCTTGGGACTAGATGGTGTCGTGGGAATGTCGTCTGATATTATTATTATTACATTTTTCCCTCGTGAAAGAGCATCCATGTCAAATCAGCTTTGTGTGACGGTAACCAAGCGGTTGTCTTCCAATTGATAAGTGAGTGGAATCGAATATGTTACAACTGATAACCGAGCCGTTGCTTACATCCTCACAACCGGTACCCTATGTCCTCACCACCGGTCGCTGACTCCTCAACGGGCACGGTGTCTGCAGGGTGTACCTGACGTGCAACCTGCGCGGGCTGTGCCCGCAGCCGGCGCTGGCGCAGTACCTGACGGCGGAGGTGGTGGTGCTGGTGGCGGCCATGCTGCTGCACGTGCCGCTCTGCGGGGCCGCGCTGCTCGCCGCCGACAGGCTCAAGTCTGGCGGACGGATCTGCTCCGTACGTATTACGAAATACTTATAAATGCCAACGGCAAATGTTAAATCATATTTACTGAGCAAGGCCTATTACTGACGACCTCGGTGGTCTAGCGGTCTAACACACCGCTTTACGTCCGATGGTCGCGGGTTCGATTCCTCGCACGGCACAAACATTTGTATTCATGAGTATGATTGTTTGTGTCGGTCTGGGTGTTTTCTATGTATATTAAGTATGTATTTACGAAAAAAAAAAGTATCTATGTATTTGTATCAGTTATCTAGTACCCATAACACAAGCTTTAGCTAGCTTAACTTGGGTCTAGATGGTGCTGTGTGAATTGTCCTGAGATTATTATTATTATTACTCACTAAACGGTTACTTGAATGACGACCGTGCATGGCAATAGTTGTTCATGCACGGGATTTTCATTTAATGTTAGACATAGACACCTATATAAATACCTATGCATTGTAAATAAACTGGATTTAAAATAAAAAGTAATTCAATTGAGTTTCTTGACAGTTCTTCTCAATTGGATCTATATATCGAACTGGACGGTAGGAAAAAAAATTATAATGGTAAAACTTGACGTTCATAAGCGGCTAAAATGTCCTACATGAATAAATGATTTTTGAATTTGAATTTGAATTTGCAACTTTTACTTTTGAACGTTGGAACCTAAGTGGTCTAGGACAGTGTGGTTTCAGAGGAGCTTCCTCCCACATACACTTAGATTGTGGAATGAACTGCCTGCCAAGGTTTTCTCGTGAGGCTTCATGGGGATTTTCAAGAACCCCTGATGTGATCACTGAAGTGACACCCCTGGTGTTTCAGACGTCCATAGGCTACGGTAACCGTTTACCATCAGATGGGCCGTATGCCTGTTTGCCACATACGTGGTATAAAACAAATCGAGCACAGATTTTGGAAGAGCGCTATTGGTTTCCCAACATTGCAGCCCCCTGCAGCAGGGGTACTGGATTGTATCCGAAGATTTTGTCGAGGTGTACTTATACTCTTTCTCTTTGTGTCCATCATCCTGCACTAAGGAAGACCTAAAGAGGACGATCAATTCAAAAACGCAACATCATTTATCACTCTATTCTGACTCATCATTGCCTTGCCTTTATCCCATTATTTGTGGTCGGCGCAGTATGTCATTCTCTTCCACTGCTCTCTATCGGTCGTCATATCTAAACATACTCTTCTTTTATTCATATCATCTTTCACACAATCTATCCATCTCTTCTTAGGGCGTCCCCCCCCCCCCCCTTTACATCCATCCACATTCACTCTATTCTGACTATTCTCCCTAATAATTGTTTGAATTTGTATTTAAAAAAAATTGTGTTAAATCGTAAATATCTACATGCTCATTTGAAAAAAGTTAAAGTTGAGTTTCTTGTCAGTTTTTCTTAACTCGAAAGCATTCCGAACTGGCGGTAGATTTGACATATCTAAGAGTCGGTAATAGACCTACATGTTATTTGTAAGCATAATACAGTGTGTAGGTCTTACAATATAGAATATTACGTCCAAAAAAAGTTTCTATCTATATAACATGCTGTGCTTAGCTTGAGACTAGATGGCGCTGTGAGAATTGGCAAAACGAAGTATGGATGTACACTTATTATTTTCGTTTTATTAATACTAAGCAATTGTAATCAACGGAATCATTGGTAATCAACGTCTATGTGACAGACTCGACCCATTGGCTTTGCGGCGAGATATTGCATCTCTGTGCACTTATCGCATATATCACGGGGAGTGTTCTGAGGAATTGTTCGGATTAATACCAGCTGCTGAGTTTCACCACCGTACTACCCGCCAGAAACTGAAATACCATCCTGATCATCTGGATGAATGGCGGTCTTCCACAGTGCGGTTTTCTAGAAACTTTTTGCCACGCACAACCACATTATGGAATCACCTTCCAGCAATGGTATTTCCGAACCGATACGATATTGAAACCTTCAAGAAAAGAGCTTATTCCTTTTTAAAAGGCCGACAACGTACTTGCAATTACCCTGGTGTTGCGGGTGCTCATGGGCGGCGGTAATCACTTACCATCAGGTGAGCCGCATGCTCGTTTGTCCCCTGTGTTAAAAATAAGCAATTGTTATATTACAGAGGCCCCGAACCGCGTCAGAAACCAAAAGCGATCTAGAAGCCGACGCGGGGGGCGAGGTGGGCGAGGACGAGGACGTGAGGCGCGAGCGACGCCGCGTGGCGAGCATACTCAACCAAACCGCCAACACTTCGCCCGTGCTAGTTGTCCATGTGAGTTTTAGACCGTTTTTTAACCATTTTCAGTCCATAGACCACTAGGAAATCAAGCATAATCTCAAGGAAGTCGTTAATAAAAAACATAGGAGTATAAGAATAATAATAACCCTGGACATAGACATTATATTCATGAGTATGATTGTTTGTATTGGTCTGTGTGTTTTCTATGTATATCTAGACACGCGGGAGCGGGTAAGAGAACTGGCGAGCAGCACCGTTTTTTACGAAATATACTGTAGCCTTCGCAAGTTCTAAACATGTTACTTGTCGGTTCCTATTTTATTATTAGTAGTAACTAGCCATCGAAAGTAATAATTGGTATATGACAACTAACCAAGTCAGACCTTAGCCTACAGTATATTATCCTAAGTTATAAGAAGAAATGATATTTTATATTGTTATAAATACATTTCAGGACAGACCATTGAACTTGGCACCCATTTAGATCTTACCTCTTTTGTCGTAGAAGTCAACAATCAAGGCATATATCATAATATTGAACTCGGCTTTCATTTCACATTTATGTTTTTGATGGGATTATATGTGCATTATAAAACAATGTATTTCTATCGAGATTATAAATGTAATGTTTGGATTGTCCTAGATTATTATTATTTTCATTGCAATTGCATCCAATTCGACTGTTTTAATTCAAAGCCTTCTGTATTATTTGAATGTTTATTTATAGAATTTTAATCAACTAACAATATTAATTATAGATATATGAATCATTTGTGCATGTGTGTATCACTTTCTGAATGACTTTTCTTCACTCGCTATTTTGACAGTTCACCTGTCATCGCCTTACTTTTCTTTATTTATGGTATGGCCATAGATATATTCAACACCGACGACGGTTTAACATGACAATAAGTCCAATACCAAATTTGATAAGATTGAAGTGTGTAGTTCTCATAAATTTTCTTGAGGTTCTAAATACATATTATATACATCGAATCTATAAATCTATAACCATTGCACGCATATAACCTCACAAATTAACGTTACATTTCATTTCTAAACCTTATGAAGTTACTTTTTTCCTATATCGTTTAGAATCTACGCAAGGAGTACAAAGTCCGCGGCACCGGCACTACGGGGTGCTGCGGGGGCGGCGGCGGGTGTGGCGGGGGCGCGGCCGGCAACCAGGCCAACGGGGCGGGCGGCGGCGCGGGGGGCGTGGGGGGCGGCGGAGGTGGCGCGGGGGGCGGCGGGGGTGGCGCGGGGGGCGCTCCGGTCGCGGGGGGGGCGCGGCGCGCGGGGCTGGCGCGGCTCAGCCTGGCCGTGCACGGGGGGGAGGTGTTTGGTCTGCTCGGACACAACGGCGCCGGGAAGACCACCACCATGAAGATCATCACGGCGGAGGAGAGGCCCACCTGTGGCGCGGTGAGTCTTACATCGTCTTCTGCTTCTCATCACGGTCGAGGAGTGCCCAACTGTGGAGCGGTGAGTGTTATATCATTATCTGCTTCTCATAACGGCTGAGGAGAGGCCTACCTGTGGAGCGGTGAGTGTTACATCGTCTTCTAGTTCTCATCACGGTCGAGGAGAGGCTCACCTGTAGAACGATGAGTGTTACATCGTCATCTGCTTCTCAACACGGCTGAGGAGAGGCCCAACTATAGAGCGGTGAGTGCTTTATTATCATCATCTGCTTCTCATCACGGCTGAGGCGAGGCTAACCTGTGTTGCAGTGAGAGTTACGCGGTACTGTAATAAACAGTGAGTTGATGGACACAAGTGTCCCTAAGGTAAAACATATTTCACTTTCTGGCGATCTAGATGATATCTATGACAATAATGTATACTTCTAATATATACTAGATAGAGATATCTATACTAATAAACATACGAATGTTTGTAATAATGATCTATAATAATGAAGAATTAAAGTTTGTGAAATCACCAATATTACTGATTCGATTTCGAAAAGTTTGTTTGTTAGGAAGCCCAGTTATTGACGACTAACCAAAACTTCTAAAACTTCTAAAGTTGTGTTATGTGTTATGAAGTATAGTGAAAGTCAGCTGAGATTCCGAAGTTAGGTTGAGAAGTAGCATCTCCCAAACATATAAACTTCATAATACTTCTTTATTAACCATCTTAGAATTTTTAGATCGGGAAGAAATAATTGTCGAAAACAGCCCCTGGTTCTGATATTAAGCCACGACCAATAGAAGTGAAGCATCAGAGATTGTTTTTACAAAAATAGGGAAAATGTAATGTGAACGAAGTTACGTGTATCAGCTAGTAAACCACATAGAAGTTGACCAAGAAAACTTAGAACCCTTGTGCATTAAGTACAAAATATTTAAAGCAACATGCTCCTTGCAGGTAATGCTGGGCGGACAGAACGTAGACGAGGCCCAGACATCTGCATTCCAAATGCTAGGATACTGTCCCCAGCACGACGCTCTCTGGAAGAACGTCACCATCCGGGAGCATATCGAGTGTTACGCTGCTATCAGGGGAGTTAGCAAAAGTGATACTCCCAGGTAAATAGAAATAGAAATAGAAATAGAAATAGAAATAATCTTTATTCAAATAAACTCATTACAAGCACTTTTGAATAGTCATATTTTGATTCTACCACTCATTCGGAATGCAGATTCATCACAAGAAGAATGAGCAAGAAACTTGTGTGTTGCTCTTTTTATTAGATGTTTTTTTTTATATAAATAATTACAGTATAACAAGTAAGAGGCATGCGTTAATCAACATAGAAGTCGCTACGCACTCATTATTAGTGTAATCAGATAATATTGTCAGTGCTATGGATTTAAAGTTTTTCTACAAAAACATTATTATCGTTAACGAATTCTTCAATTTTATAGTAAGCTTTTTTGCAAAGGAACTGTTTTATTTGACATTTAAATTCTTTTTTAAATGTGTATTTTATTGTAAAGCCTTACGCAATTGCCATAAAACGAATTACTAACTTTAGCCAAACGACATTTAGGTAAAATCAGTTTGTTATTGTTACGTAAGCTTTTATTAGTGCAATCACTAACTCTTTTGAAACTGTCTATATTCATTCTGGCATAGATGATATTTTCATAAATGTATTGAGAAGCAACGGTGAGGATATTTAATTCCTTAAAACACTCTCGCATTGACTCCATGGAACCCATACCATAAATGGAGCGAATTGCCCTCTTTTGTAAAGTAAATATTGTGAAATGACCTAATATAATTCATATTTTGTGACTACATTGGAAACCTTGCCAACAACCCATTGATGTTAAGTGACAACCAGTGGTGTACCTACCTAGGGGCTAGACGGTGCAGTGGCCCGGGGCTCTCAAGCTCAACCCCTTGAACCCTTACCAGAAACTCTCATACCAACTGAACTTTTGAAAATTTCTCCCATTTTCAAAATAAATATGACAGGCTGCAACGCGACTTTAATCATGGCAACTCAGTTGAGAGAAATTCGAATGTTATATCTTCGAAATTCCCCTAAATTCTTTCTGTGGGTTGGCAGTGTTGTCAATTTGACGGATAGCGATATATGCGTTAATAAAACTATAAAGTAGGGCCCTATTGTTGAGCAGTGGGGGAAAAATGGAGCCCCCATATTTTGATTTGTCCCAGGGCCCTTGGTTACCTAACTACGCCACTGGTGACAACCGTCACCTATAGATATATCAATATGAACAGCACCAAGAACTCACCTCAATATGTTTCTAGGGGGACTGCATACAGATCTGATTACTTAAACTTAACCTGTATATGTATATATATTTTTAAATAGATTTTTGAAAACATAGTTTTGTGAAACCATGAAGACCATGGTACCAATGACGCCATCTACATTATGTTCGTTCAAAGCAAAGACCGATTCTATGACAAGGAGTACCTCTGCCATTACTAATAATTCCCTCTCGGTACCGGTCCACCTCACTATCTTAACGTCATACTCACACACAGCGCAACCTGTTTAATATTTACAACATCTAAATATATATAACTCAAAGGTGACTGACGTGGTGATCTATCAACGCACAGTCCAAACAACTGGACGGATCGGGCTAAAATTTGGCATGCAGGTAGATGTTATGACGTAGGCATCCGTTAAGAAAGGATTTTGATTAATTCTACCCCAAAGGGATAAAATAGGGGATGAAACTTTGAATGAAACTTTGTCAATTTTAAACCTATCGGGCTGAGACTTCGCATGCATAAAGCTATTATGACGTAGGCATCCCCTAAGAAAGGATTTTGATATTTTCCACCCCTAAGGGGGGAAATTAACGCGATCGAAGCCGCGGGCAAAAGCTAGTCATTTTATAAAACCAAATCAAAATGGAAACGTAAAATCCTATCCCCTAGATAACCAGGACAGTTAGTAGAACTTTCCCCTTCAACGTGTGAGTCTTATTTAAGGAGGGTAGGCAAAAGAAAGGCTTACCCTCAAAGTTATTTAATGTTAGGACCAGTTTTTCCGACCCTTGGTCATAATTTATACTCATTACTATTTCGGAGGATTCAGACATTATACCTAAATCAGAAAGCAAACTACAATATTTTTGCTTGGCAGTACAAATAAGTGAGACAGATATACCCACGAACATAACTTTGTCTTTGACTAAAGTCTACCTCGTTAAGAGTAATGGATTATTAAAATATGCTTCTATTTTATTTCTTTCTTTTAGAATAGTGGACGCGTATCTTAACGGGCTCCAAATAATGGAGCACGCAGGGAAACACGCAGACGAATGCTCGGGCGGGACGAAGCGGAAGTTGTCGTTCGCGCTGGCGATGGTGGGCAACCCCAAGGTGGTGCTCCTGGATGAACCGTCCACCGGCATGGACCCGAGGAGTAAGCGGTTCCTGTGGGACACCATCCTAGCTAGTTTCCAGGTCAGTTGAATACATAAATATTACTTGATGTGTGTTATAATTCTTATTATAATATTAAGTAATTTTTTATTAGTTTTGCTGCAATAACTCATTTTACCTCGATAAATTTATCGTTTTATTTTTGTCCAGGGTAAAAAAGGTGCTATTCTAACAACACATTCCATGGAAGAGGCTGATGCTTTATGTTCAAGAGTTGGGATAATGGTGAAAGGCAGTTTGAGGTGAGATTCGTACAGCATTCATCATCATCATCATAATTTCACCCCGTAAAACGTCCACTGCTAAACAAAGACCTCCCACAAAAATCTCCACGGCGGTCGGTCTACTCGCATCCAACACCCCAGCGATCTCGACCAGATCGTCGGTCCACCTTGTAGGCCTTCCCACGCTGCAGTCCAGTCCCGGTCGCCACTCGAGGACTCCACTGCTCCAATGGCCATCTGTCCTACGAGCCATGTGCCTGTCTATTGCCATTTCAGTTACCCAATTCTTCGGGCTATGTCGGTCACTCTGGTTTTTCTGCGGATCTCCGAGCATAGCCCTCTCCATTGCCATCTAAGTGACTCTGAGCTTATTTATGAGGCCCATAATTAGCGACCACGTCTCTGTGCCGTAAGTCATAACTGGCGACACACATTGGTCGTAAACCTTCGTCTTAAGACACTATACCTACAACATTGTTAACTTTTAATAATAAATATAATGAATAAAATCACTGTTTTCAGATGTATAGGATCTACGCAGCATCTGAAGAATCTGTACGGCGCAGGGTACACGTTAGAAATGAAAATAGGCCAGAACAGTCAGAAGTCGGTGAGTGTATGTAATAATAATAATAATACATGAACATCACATGACTATACACAAACAGAGAATAAATTAAATGGCTCACAATAAGTACACAAATACAAACACAGACGGGTACTTGGTTTCTAAAGCGTAAAAAACCAGCAAAAGCTGTGAAAATAAACCATAGAAATAATAATATTTTAGGACAATTTACACCGCACCATCTAAGTCTAAGTCCCAAGCTAAGCAAAGTTATGGGTACTAGACAACTGATATAAATACATAGTTACTTTTTTTGTAAATACGTACATAATACAAATACAAAACCCCAGACCGATACAAATAATCATACTTTTGAATACAAATGTTTGTACCGTACGAGGAATCGATCCCGCCACCATCGGTAGTACGGCGGCGTGCTAAATAGCTACACCACTAAGGCTATATGTGTTTGTAATACCTACATTCTTATGTACTTTTGTAAATGTTTTAAACTTCATAAATGTGTTATCTGTACAAATAAATAAAATTGAATTGTCTGTAATTTTAAAATAACAAATTTTACAATTGCATATGATATAAAGTACATTATTTTAAAAATAAATTTCATGTGAATGATTTTTTTTTCCTTAAAAAGTCTGACAAAAGAAAATTATTTAAAAAGTTTTTGTCTCTATCTGCCTGTTTGTTCTTGTTAATCTCCGATTGTACCGATTTTGACAGGGCGTTCATGTATGTCTGTATGTATTTAAAAAAAAGTGTTGATATATTTCTATCAGTTATCTAGTATTCATTACACAAGCACTGCTTATCTTGGGTCTAGATGGCGTTTTGTAAATTTTCCTGGTATATTATTATTATAAATAAATCCCATTTGTCCTTTGTTATTATTATTATTGAGCCAATTTAACATGGCGTTTTAATCATCATTCTCAGATGCTAGACCCAGAGTTATCTATGTCACCGTCACCACTCCGGTCTACTGAGAACTCGCCATCGCTGGGAGAAGCTGATGAGGGTAAGCATTAAAAATTTAGTTCTAAAAGGGAACAGGGGTTCTTATTAGGCACATTGATTGAAGTAGAAAAAGTATAATCCATCACATTTAAAATAAGTATTGTTGCTAAGTAACAGTTTGTGTGTATCTAGATCCTGATCTCTATCAGAGATCACTGAACAAATATTGTACGGTATAGGTCCAACCCATCAGTGAGAGAGACTGATGAGGGTAAGCATTAAAAATTTAGTTCTAAAAGGGGACAGGGGTTCTCTAGATCCGATCTACAGAGAACTGAACTGTACCCCATCACTGAGAGAGACTGATGAGGGTAAGCATTAAAAATTTAGTTCTAAAAGGGGACAGGGGTTCTCTAGATCCGATCTACAGAGAACTGAACTGTACCCCATCAGTGAGAGAGACTGATGAGGGTAAGCATTAAAAATTAATTCTAAAAGGGGACAGGGGTTCTCTAGATCTGATCTACAGAGAACTGAACTGTACCCCATCACTGAGAAAGACTGATGAGGGTAAGCATTAAAAATTTAATTCTAAAAGGGGACAGGTTGCTCCAGGGCTCTACAGAGAACTGAACTGTATCCCATCACTGGGAGAGGTTGGTGAGGGTAAGTATTGACTACTTACTTCTAAAGAGGGACAGGGTTTTTCAGGGTTGAAATTTTTATGGAACCCCTCACCTCTATGGCGGGATGTCCTCCTTTGAGAAATATCCACCCGTGAAAACAAAAAATAATCTGTTGGTAAATTTCTTAAGGGATGATAATGGAATGGTGTACACGCCTGCGCTAACGGTATAAGCTAGCGGGGCACCAGCGGAGAGATGATAGAAATGATGATAGAAAGAGAGAACTGACCTGACCTCGTGGTCAGTTAACCCATCGTGGAAAATTCAACAGGAATATATCATGGGTTTCCAGCGAGAACCGCGTGGAGGTCAACCTGACATGATACATTGCTAGCAATAGGTTTATTATTTCATATTACTAAAATTCTTCTTTCTCCCGTATGTGCGTGATTATGGTATGTTACACCCGCCTGCGCTAACGGTATACGCTGGCGGGGCACCACTAGAAGGTAATAGAGTGAGGATAAAGTTACGTCAGTTAGTCTACTATAGAGTATTAACATATAATTAAAATAAAAAATTACTTAACAATTATAGCACTAGTTTTTAAATTAAGTATAAATATTATTAAACCCATTTATACGCGGATTGTTGCCTCCAGAGTTTAATCCCGGGATAAAGGAGCTCATCCCATCCCACTAATTTACTAAATATCGGTTACCGTGTATAGTACCGTGTAGTCGTTAATGGTATAGCAGTTGACGGTCCAAGTGATGACCGTCAACTGCTATACCATTCCAATTACTACCTCGGTAAACATCACGATGGTGGACCTTATAGACATTTGTATGCAACATACATATAATATATGTACTATTACGAAAAAAAAAATATATGTATTTGTATATATAGACCACAAAAACTACCTCCTGTGTGAATTGTCCTGAGATTGTTATTATTAAAGATTGTGATATTGACAAAAACTACCTTCAAAAGATTGTGATATTGATGTGTTATAAGGTAATCGTATTGTACAGGTGGATCGGGCGCGGGCTCAGTGTGCGCGGGGGCGGAGGGCGAAGCGGAGGCGGACGCGGAAGCGGAGGCGGTGGACGTGAGCATACACACGCCACTGGTGGCCGGCACGCCGCCGTCGCGACCACACCACCACAGGTACCTTATTCACTCATCCTTATCTTTTAATAATATTATAAACGCGTAATATTTTTTTAAGCTAGAACGATATATTTTGTAGGTTTTTTTGGGTTAGATTATTATATATTTTTTCTTTATTTTGTCAAGGTCACTATTTCTATTATATTTATATAATCTTTTGAAAACAAAAAATAATAATATTATAAACTGCGTATAATACCAGTTTTTTTAATATGAGATCGTGGTAAATTCAACAGGAATATATCATGGGTTTCCAAGGGGAACCGCATGGAGGTCAACCTGACATAATACATTGCTAGCAATAGGTTTATTAAACCATATTACTAAAATTCTTCTTTGTGTGTGGGTGATCCACATACGGGAGAAAGAAGAATTTTAATAGGGTATGTTACACCCGCCTGTGCTAATGGTATACGTTGACGGCTGGGTATAAATATATATATTTATATATGTACATACTGTGTCCGCCGTATAAAGAATGAATACATTAGAGGAAGTATATTTTGTCGTAGTAATGAGGATAATATTTTAAGAAAGGTGTTACATATGAATGTGGATGGTTATCACTATTTCTATTATATGTATTTATATACATAAGGAAGAAGCAGATGATGATACTGTGTCCGCCGTTTCATCCAAGTTAAATTTCATATAATAAAATATAATATTGGCCTATATGTTAATTAGATGCATAAGCTATATTAAATTCAAATTCAAAAATCATTTATTCATGTAGGATATATTAACTTCTTATGAACGTCAAATTTTTTATAATATATTTTTATTTTTCCCCTACCGTCCAGTTCAGTTGAGAAGAACTGGCAATAAACTCAATTGAATTACTTTTTTTTTTAAATCCAGTTTATTTACAATGTATATTTATATAGGTCTATGTCTAACATCAAATGAAAATCCCGTGCATTATTATCAATAATGTAAAGTGTTATCAAAATCCGTACAGTAGTTTTTACGTGAAAGAGTAACAAACGTCCTACAACATTTATATATCTATTATTCAATACAAGAAAATATAATAGTGATTTGCACTATCAAAAAGTAAATCTCAGTTCCGCTAGCTCGTGTAACTTGGACCAGAGTGTATTATAGAACTTTTGGTAGCTCGTATTGGATCTTGCAAAGTTGGTCCTATCTCTAAACGTATCTCAATGTCTTGAATACTTCTCTGTACGGCGATGCGGTACAGTTATATACTAGTTTTGTTAACATAGTGTACCAATATTAGGTACCGATACGATATGACCATCCATACTCACAAACTTTCTCGTTATTATATTGGTAAGGTTATCAATTATTGTCCATTACTGACAATCGTCTCCCCTAACAAACAGTAGGACGGAGTCGGGCGGCGGCGCTAGTGCGGACGCGGCGATCGCGCTGGTGGCGCAGCTGTTCCCGGCGGCCGTGCTCGAGGAGAACTTCGCCGAGAGGCTGGTGTTCTCCGTGCCGCAGTCCTCCGTCTCCAGCCTCGCCAGCTGCTTCCAGCAGATAGAGGACGGTCAGTACAATAAACACAACAACGAATTTTTTTTTAATTTTTTTTTGCACCAGTACCACTTATCCCACTGTTTTAGGTTGATTGGAAGATATCTCTTCTAGGTCCACAGTTTGCTCACATTGTCTCTAAATTATAATATCTTTGTATTATCTAGGCAATAAATAATTAAAAAATAAACAACAATAGCTCCACTTATTTACATTATTTTCTTATTCTATTACATTTCTTTCTTTCTGGTGTGTGTATGTGTATATGTATGTATGTATATATATATTTATGTATTTTATTTTATTTTATTTATTATTTTATTAAATCTGTAAGTAGTTATCATCATTATCTGCTTCTTCCTTATCCCATTTATTTGTGGTCGGCGTAATATGTTTTTCGCTTCCATTCATCCCTGTTCGCAGTCATCTCGTTATTTACTTCCTTTCTTACCATATCATCTTTCACACAGTCCATCCATCTCTTTTTCGGCCTTCCTCTGCCCTTATAACCATCCACATTCATATGTAACACCTTTCTTAAAATATTATCCTCGTTCCTACGCATTACATGTCCATACCATGATAGACGATTACTCTTCAACCTCTCCGACACTGGCGCCACTTTCATACTTTCTCTAATGTATTCATTCTTTATCTTATCCATTCTTGTCACACCACACATCCACCTCAACATTCTCATTTCAGTTGCATGCAGTCGTCTTTCATCCGTCGCCTTTATAACTATTTATGTTCATCGCCATCTGTAAGTAGATATATTCTTATTATTTATACTACATTAATTTATATATATTTGCTTATTTTGTGTACCTATATCCTCACCGTTGCTTCTCCATATATTTATGAAAGTATCATGTATACCAGGAAGAATATAGACAATTTTAAAAGAGTTAGTGATTGCACTAATAAAATCTTATGTAACAATAACAAACTGATTTTACCTAAATGTCGTTTGGCTAAAGTTAGTAATTCGTTTTATGGCAATTGCGTAAGGTTTTACAATAAAGTACCAGAGTCTGTTATAAATCTGCCAGAAAAAAGATTTAAATGTCAAATAAAACACTTCCTTTGCAAAAAAGCTTACTATAAAATTGAAGAATTCGTTAACGATAATAATGCTTTTGTAGAAAAATTTTAAATACATAGCACTGACAATATTATCTGATTACATTAATAATGAGTGCGTAGCGACTTCTATGTTGATTATCGCATGCCTCTTACTTGTTATACTGTAATTATTTATATAAAAAAAAAACATCTATTAAAAAGAGCAACACACAAGTTTCTTGCTCATTCTTCTTGTGATGAGTCTGCATTCCGAATGAGTGGTAGAATCAAAATATGACTATTCAAAAGTGCTTGTAATGAGTTTATTTGAATAAAGATTATTTCTATTTCTATTTCTATTTCTATATATTTCATAGTGACGCGTATTATATATTGTACCTATTTCCACCATTCCACAATTTCTCGCAGTAACTCAAAGATTGACTGGAAAAAATCCCTCTTTTGGGATAAAATCGCCATTGTACGCATTTTTTTTTAAGTCAATTGTATCCTTTTATTTATAATATTATTGTACAATAAAGTATTGTAAACAAACAAACAAACAATAGCTTATGCATTAGAATATAGGATATATTTTTCACTAGCTGTACTCACGACGTCGTCCGCGTGAAATTTAACTTTATTTTTCTGATTGATATGCGGAAGCCGCATGAGGTTTGGCAATAACATGCTTCGTATATATTCATTTTAGTAATATTATTTCGAAAGTATGTCTTAATTTTTGTTACCTTTTCAAAGCTATACCGCATTCATCCATATTCATCCACAATGAATATGAATCTTCATCGACCACATGATAATCATTAATGAGTTTCGAGTGGCGACTCCACTGAAAATGTATTTATTTTATTTATTTACTATCTGTACACGCGACATCGTCCGCGTGGAATTTAACTTTATTTTTCTAAAATAAAAGTAGCCTAAGTTACTCCTTATTACATCAGCTACCTGCCAAAAAAAGTCGTCAAAATCGGTCCAGCCATTTCAGAGATTAGCCAGAACAAACAGACAGACAGACAAAAATTGTAAAAAATGTTATTTTGGTTTATTTACCATATTTATATTCATATGCATGTAGTAAAAAACGGTTATTTCAATATTACAAATAAACACTCCAATTTTATTTATATGTATAGATTGTAATTTATGAAAACGTGTGTATAACCAGTAAATAAATATATTTGTTTATACAGCAAAAGAGAAGCTGAACATAGTGGAGTACAGCTTCAGTCAGACAACACTGGAACAGGTGTTCCTGAAGTTCGCGCAGACAGAGACGGTGGACGCCGAAGCCGACCACTAGTGTCGTTGATTTTCATATTATTACCACAGATTTAGACTAATGTTACCATAGACAAAGATTGAAATAGATCCAGTTATATCTGCCTATTTATTACCATAAATAAAAATTGTATATTTTTTATTAAGAACAAAAATGTCTGTAAAGAAATTTCTAATGCTAGGGATATCATTAAAGAAATTTTCCCAAACAATAAAAATGGAAAATATTTGTAAATCTAACAAATTAGATTTTTTTATACTAAATCAATTAGTATTAATATAAATAAAAGTTTTAAATTAGTTTTGTAATTATCTGAATCTGCGAATATCCGTATAGATTTTTTGTTTAAATGAATCTAACAACATTTAATACATTATTTATGAATATATTTATTAAACTAAACGAGAGGAAATAGGCACCTCACTATTTCTACTAAATTGCTCCAAATATTAGCGTAGTGTGTTAACCACTTTAATTTATTTTGTGTGAGATCAAATTTCAACCATATGACCTCTCCATATGGTTGAATATTGATCTAACACAAATCAAATTAAAGCGGTCGACACACGGCGCTAAAATTTGGGGCATCTATATCTATCTTTGTCTATAAATGTTACATTAATGTAATATATAATTGTCTTATATCGAAATAAAATTATTTTACTAAGATTGGTTTAGTCAGAGATTGTATATTTTACTTCGTAAAGATTTACATAGTAGAATATATACAACAGACTCTTTGTAACAATGTTAGTAACAATTTCCAATTGTAAATTGAATATATGGGATGCAATATCCTATGAGGAGTCTTAGAGCTACAGATTAGATACGTTTGCAATTGCAACTGTTGCAAATTAGTATATAACTGCAAAATTAAATGTAACATTGTAGATTTCAGTTGAAATTTGTTAGTAACATAAATACACAAAGTCCATGATCTCTGGTTTAGTGAAGTTCTAGGTACAGTCGCTAACTTTAGTCTTGATCGGGCTTTTATACAAACTTGGATTTGTTATGAAAATTTATATGTATTTATAATAATTTATTTAGTTTAATTGTTAATTTAATTAGATGATTAATTATTGAAATTTATTAGATAAATAATAGGATGCTATCTCAATATACATGAATATACTACCAAAATAAGCTACAAAACTCTAAAATTGATGTTGAAATATAATTAATAATAATAAAATATAAGATTAATTAATATATAAACAATTATTTAATTAAAATATTAATTAATAAATTTAAATGAACATACAGCTCATAGATATTTCAATAGTTGTTTATTTAAATTTATTAAGTCCAAATGATAGCATTCTACCTAATTACAAATAAGTCCTAAGTTTCTATAAGTCCATCAATATTAAAGTTTACGATTGTACATTTATGTTGATGGTAATGTTTAATTTGATAGGTACTACACTTGGCGTCTTCTGGTGACTAATATTTAAATGTATAAAATTTATTCATTATATTTATTATAATTTATTTGAATTACAAATAAAAGAATATGTAATAAATTAAAATGCAAACTATTAATAATATCTAATTGGAGTTTAGATATTAATTATAAAATTGAAAATTAAATTAATAATTGTTATTCGACTTGATTTAGAAAATTTATTTCACAACGACTAAGAAATTGTATGAGATGGTTTATACATTTTTATTATAAATAACTATTTAAAAATTTAGTATTTTAAATGATATTACATTATCGCAAACTTAATAATAAACTACATTAATTAAAACCATTTTATGTATGAAATTGCTATTGATTCCTGCATTAAGATACCTGTAGGAAACAAGATAAAAACTTAATCTATATATATAAAAATTGAATTGCTGTTCGTTAGTCTCGCTAAAACTTGAGAACGGCCGAACCAATTTGGATAATTTTAGTCTTGAAATGTTCGGGGAAGTCCAGGGAAGGTTTAAATGGTGATAAAATATGAAGGAATTGCATGTGAAATAGTAAAAACAACAATTATAATTTCCCATACAAACTACTGAAACCTGTCAAACGGGGTGCGTTCAGAACATTTATTGCGTAACGAAACTTCAAAAAACCTTTGACATATATAATTGAGGCTGAACGGAGTGCGCGAGGTCAGCTAGTTAATTCATCAAGAATTTATCACGGTGGTATCCAGGGGGAACCGCGTGGTGGTCGACCTAACATTGTACATTGCTAGCAATAGGATCATCAGTCTACATTACCAACAATCACCTTTCCCCATATGATATCGGTTATAAGATGACGTGTGAAGGTGGAACGATTAAGATGTGATTTGGGGGTCTATTGCCCTAAACAATTTGGAAATCCTGGTCTATAAGTTACACAAGGTATAGGAAATTAGACTACTATTCCTATAGAGATTTAAGCTATGAAATTACTGGATATATAATACTTATATTTCGACCTCGGTGGTCTAGCGGTCTAGCACACCGCTTTACGACCGATAGTCGCGGGTTCGATTCCTCGTACGGCACAAACAAAAAAAATATATATCTATGTATACGTATCAGTTATCTAGTACCCATAAAGCTGTAGTTAGCTTAACTTGGGTCTAGATGGCGCTGTGTGAATTATCCTGAGATTATTATTATTATTATAATAATATATAGGTACTGAGAATATTTTCGAGTTATTGTAATTTATTACTATGTGCGATATTGGAAATGAAAACTCTGTAAACGAAACCAGATACATGCCAAGTGTTAGTATCATAGCACGTCGTGCTTTGTAATACCAAATTGTAATATATGAAATCGCTTCTGACTTATATAAATATCTGTACTTATATATTGTGTAGTTAATTATGTTTATTTTATAAGCTTTTTTGTATAGCTAGCCGGTAATCGAGAGAATATTAAATAGGGAGTGTATTAGTGGCGTTAGTGGACGTTTTATAATTTGTTACACAATTTTTTATAATATGTATAGCTTCATCGAATCCATCATGTGACATGTTTGTCACATTTATTATATATCCTACATGTGACAACGCGTTTCCACAATAAATACATGTACAAAACTTGAAATATTTAAAAGTCGAATGCCTACCTTTTTTAACCATTGAACTGTTCTGTCCCTTTCCTTTCGTATTATATTATTCATTTAAAAGAAATTGATAAAACAGTTCAATTTTTAAAATACGTTTGTAGGTCCATGCATAAAAAGTGTCGAGATTTTATAGATGTTATGAAACATGTATAACATAATTTTTGTCACAATGAGTCACATGTGTTTGCACTATAATACGTCTAATAAGTACATGTTTTGTGACAGGTACGTTGATGGAAATATGCGATGGAATAATATACAGGGTTTGTTGGAAAAGGTATAAAGTGAATAAATGGTAAGAAAATATTTGAAATTCTTCGACTTACAGTTATTATGAGTTATATTGACAGATTAAATTTTTTTTTAACTCAATTGAAATTGGTAATAAAAAATCAGTAATATTACTAGTCTGGCATAACCTACACGATTCATTCAGTGTAAATTGAAACACCAATTGAAAGTAGATACGAATTAATTAAAGTTGTCACAATATATACTACATGTGACAAACACTAAATGTACATATATAACAACTTGTTACATATACATAGAATATATATGTATATTCAATCATCGCATCTGTCTGTTGTGCCTACACGGTTGAGAGCCACGTGTGTAAAGTGATATAACACCAAATATTTGTTTTATTGACAATGTATTATTTTGAACTAGTCATCTGCTTTGTTCGTGATATTCAGTGATTTTCTATAATAATGAGTGGTCTGTTCATCCCATTACATATTTAAAGTAATGCTCGTGTGTGACACGCTATATTCCATGACAAACGGACAAAATCGACCACGCGACTTCGCTTAATTATATTTCTGTAATAGATCCTTGAAGTTCAGACTATTTGAAAAGAAATTGGGATTTATAACTGAATTAAAGGTATTTAAGTTTTGAGATATATCATCAGTAGTTTACTACCCCGATATGGTTTACTATCCAAAGGTCCGGAGTTCAAATCTGGTCGACATCAAAAACTTAGTGTTAACTTATGAACGACTTCCGGCGATAAAAACACCAATATGAAACTAAATTAATTCAAAAGCAGTAAGATCTTGTCTGGTGATATTGGATTAAAAAATACCCAACGAAATGTGGGAATGTTGCGTTCACTGTGACCAACAACAGTTGACATTGAAATGAAATTAAAGGATAATATATCTCTCAAACTACTAACTACCCGCCGCGGCTTCGTACGAGTATATGTACATGTATTATACATATAAACCTTCCTCTTGAATCACTCTATCCACTGCTCAAAACGGCATTAAAATCCGTCGCGTAGTATAAAAGATATAAGCATACAGACAGCGGAAGCTACCTCATTTTATACTATGTAAAGATCACTCAATATCACGAGAAAGCGCGTATATTTTTTTTATTATAAGCCTATATTTGTTGCTATATTTTTATATAATAAAACAAAATACGTGTATAAACCGCGACCTTGTTGACATTTTGTCTAAAATAATAGTTGTAACGTAAGTATAGACTATAACTCTATCTAGGAATGGTTATAAATACCCTGATGGTGACAGAGTTGGTACGGACCGGATTAATGACATTTGAAAATAAATAAAATGTAAATTTAATGAGAAAATAAATAAAGTCTTTTTCATTTATTTATTTTTAAGTATAAATGCGATATTGAGATTTAAATTATTTAAAATAATGAAAGTACATTCCTATAAATATTTATATGTATATTTTATAGTTTGTATTTTTTTCTTATCTGTTAATATTTATTTTTTTTATGTTTAAGGGCATGTTTTTACAGTTCTACATTATTATAATATAATATCTACAATTTAGTTTATCTAAATTACTATAAATACTTTAGTGGTAATTTAAATAAATTAAATAAAGAAAATAAATTAAATAGTAAACAATTAACACCGCAATGAAATGTAACAAAAGCTTTATATTATTATCTATTCAGAAA